CGCAACTTCGGCCGCTCGAACATCCTCCGCCTTCGCGACATTGTGAAGGCGCACCAGGTCCTCCTTCTCCTTCTGAAACTCATCGCGAGCTTGCTTCAGCTTCGCGTCGTACGAGGACTCTAGCTGGGCGCGGATGGCGGAGCGCTCCTCATCCCGCACTTGCTTCTTCGCCGCTTCCACGTCGGCGGCCAACTTGCTCTGAAGGACGCCAAGTTCCTCCATCGCTTCATTAGCTTTGTTTGTGGCCACCTCGGCGCGATTGTTCGCCCCGACAATCTTCCCCTCCAGCTGGACGATCTTTGCCTCGTCCGCCTTCATCCTCGATTGAAGAGCTGCACGCTCTTTTTGGGCTCGGAAGGTCGCCAGTAAACCCTACACATACAAGCGCGACAAGACTTAGCAAAATTCGTAAACAAAACTCACACATTGAGAACAAACAAATAGCCTTACCGCAAAATGGATCTGAGCCAGATCTTGCAGCGGATCGGACTTCTCCATCCACGCAGGGGTGCTCAAGTTGGGCCCCAACGCCCGAAGCGCGGTATTCGTCGATACACTGTTGCACGCAGCACCAGCGTGGATCCGCACATCGCGGAAATAGTTAATGGCGGAAGCTCCAGACGAACTCCCCCCCCCCCCCCACGGACCTCTCGGTGCGCGGAACCGCATCAACGCGTACACCAGAATCACTCCCATCCACAATTGTGAGCGGCAAATGATGTGTTGCTCGCTCAACAACTCGCTCGGCGCTCCGCTCAGGTCGCGCCACCTGCTCAACTACCCGTTCAGGGCGGGGCTCGACCCGAGCCTCCTTTCGGTATCTCTCTTCTGCCGGGGGCTGCTCAGCCCTCTTCCTCTTCGTGCGCTCCAATCAGTGGCGGACCTAAGGCTAGTAAGGGTGTGTCGTCCGACACACCCTCGCTCGAGAATTTTGTGAAGAACCTATATATTTTTGGTACAAATTTTTTTACTTCGGAATAGCCGACACACCTTCAATAATTATAGCCGACACACCTTCATTATAGTCGAAGAATTTATTATCCAAACCAATCAATCTTAATCATAATCCATTTTAATTTTGTTTAAAATAACTCATAAATCATAATCCTATCACTTCATATTAAAAAAAAAGACTCTCAGCCATATAATATATATGTTGATGTGTGTTGGGTCCGGACCTATAATTAAAAGAGAAAAAAAATCACAGGCCAAATGGCCAATAGCCCAGGCGGACACTCTTTATAGTTTAGTTTACTTGTTGTTGAAGTTGATGTTGACTTTACCTGTTGCAACTGCAAGCTGCGAAAGAGCATTTTCAGCTATGAAGATAATCAAGAACAATCTTCGAAATCGGTTGAGTGACCAATTTATGAATGATTGTTTAGGTGTGTATATTGAAAAAGATTTGCTTTGCAACATAAGTGATGAATGTATTTTAGAGACATTTCAATAGATGAAAAGTCGTCGTGGTTCGTTTTAAATATGACCTTGTGAACTTTATGAATTAATTTCTTTTAATTTCTACTTAATTTATTTAATTAATTTAATTTAATTATTATTGGATTTTATCGGCGACACACCTCTCCGACAATCCTGGGTCCGCCACTGGCTCCAATGGCGCGTCCTCCTTCGATTTCTCCTTCCCACTGCGCGAGGCTCGCGGAGCTTTGACGACCACGTCGTCCACCGACATCATGCTGACTAAGTTGGAGAAGTCAACACCTGCACCAATAAATCGTAAGAGAGCGGTTAATATGATAGAATGCATAAAGAAAGGGACGCAACTAACCATCATCAAAGAGTTCCGCCAAGCAAGCTTCGCGGACTCCGCCTGCATATAGGTTAAACTTGTGATTCATGCACGCTTCATATTCGGCATCCAGATTATCATATTTTCCCAAGTCGCGCTCGAAGCCGTGCGTGCTGCCCTTATTCCATTCTGTGGGCTCCTCCATATACTCGCTCGCCCATTCCCCCGGGGTCGGCTTCACGTAAAAGAAGCGCTCAAACCAAGTCTTCTTCAGCTTTGGCGACCCGTACGCAAACCCGTCAGGCCTCTTATCGCGCCGCCTGATGGAGAGACAGTCGCTCCTTTTTGTAGGCTCCTTAATCTTGTACATCTTGCGGAAGAGCCCGTAAGACGGCTGAATATTAAGTCTCTTGCACGCAAGGCGGAGACAGCTGGTGTGCATTATGACCGAAGGAGATAAGCGCCCAACCGAGCATCCGAGCCGCCGGTATATCGCGCATAACAACGGGTCGATGGGAAACTTGAACCCCATCACCCAATACTCGGTATAAACACCGAACCACCCGGCGGGGCAGTGACCGACGGTACTCCGAGTAGAGGGAATCGCGTACTCCCAGTTGGGGGGCAAACCCAACCCGCGCACGATCTCCGTAACCTCCCTCCGCCCATAGATTGAAACGTGATCAGGTCCTCGGAGGAGACTGTCTCGCGGTGCTGGCTGATCGCCCCACATCTCCGCCCAGTCTATTATCTTATACTCCGCACCCATGCCGCGAAACCCTAGGCGACTAATCGCCTCGGAAACGCGCGCGACCATATGCGGCTCTGATTGCGCACTGGAACTGCCACGCGCTTCAGACTGCCCACCATCATGGTCGCGCCTGATTATCAACACGCCCCGTGCGCTAGGGCCGGCCGCGCCACTCCCCGACACTGTCACATCAGCATCGGACGATTCACGATAATCTTGATCCGAATCGCCGTCGCCATCATGAGACGGCGTCGCCGGAACATCATCACCGCCGGCGCCGCCGTCACCACCGTGGCCGGCGTCATCGAGATCCAATGAAGGATCAGTAGAGACACGGAAAGGAGAGGAGAGATTACCTTCTTCGCCTTGCACGACCTCGATCTCGTCGACGTTGGTGTTAGCCATAGCAAATCCTTGATTTGACAACAACGAACTGAGAATAGAGGTTGTAGAAGAAGGAGAGGAATCTCAAATAACTCGATATGCAGAGTACAGAAAACGAAGAAACGGAGAAGAATAGGTGGAATGAGCAGTGGGTTCCAAAACCCCCTCAGGGACAACTACTTATACCCGAGGGAAGGAAACCGAAAGGTTGGAGTTGTGTTGAAAAACGCAACCGTCAGAGCTTCTTTTTCGAATTTCAAAATGGCTGCCAAAATGGACCAACCACTAAAGGACACGTGGACACATAGCATGGGTGTAGGTAACTAGCATAGGCGTAGGTACTAGCCGATGACGTCACAAGTGCCACACATCGCCTGGGGGGCATGCCACACCCACGGGAAAAAATGCGCTCTAAGAAGCCGGGCGCAATCACTAAAAGATCTCCGGAAATCGCGCGAGAAAGAAAAATAAAAAATACGCCGAAGTCACGCGGGGATAAGAGGACGTTAACCACCCGGGGGGCATCCAGGGCCAAGAAGAGAATACCGCGCGCAACCGCCAAAATCACCGAGCCAAGAAATCCCAGGAAATTGCGCGAGTAAAAAGTACGAGGAGACTGAGCGGGAATAAGAAGACGCCAACTATCCGGGGGGCATAACTCACCTCAAGCCCAACTTCGATCACGCATCCCCAACTTACAAGCAGCGCGCACCAGGAGAACACCACGGAAGCGCACGTATCGCGTGTAGTATAAGGTAATGCGCACAACGAGACCAAGCAGGTCCGAGTCAATCAAGCAGAAATCCAAACAAGAGGTATTCATGGAACACCCCCTGATGGGGGGCAATTGTTGGGCATGTGACTCGGACCTAGCCGCGCCAGATAAAGCGCACCGACGCCACCCCGGATGCCGCCAAGCCCTGCGGAACGCAACGCGACCGAAGACTTCCAGAATTGGCTAGCGCGAGGACCTTGAGCGCGGCGTGATGAAGGAAGGCGGGAGCAGAATTCTCGAGCGCGACGCAAGCTACACGCACGTGGAAAAACCAAAATGTCAACTACACCAAGGTGCAGCAGAAAGCGTCGTTTTTACTTCCCGAGGTGTAGTCACATCAGAACCCTATGTACAGTCCTAAACAGCCCCCTGACACGTCCTAGGTATAAGCATGGTCCAAATCCCTGACGTGTCAGTGTCCACGTCGCTGTCCCCCACATGTCGTGGTCCCCACAAATATCTCAACCACTCACCCACCACCATGTAGCCTATAAATATGGCATTTACTACGGTGGGTGAAGGGGATGGGATTTTTGGGACTCTATCTCTAAAATCATCAACTTCTCTCTCAAGGATATTTCTCTCCCAATTCTCTTTGTAATCTCCTCAGTTCTAAACCGAAGATTATTTCCTCTTTGTTTACTCTCCTTGACCCATTTCCCCCGAGTCTCACTCCTACACCCAGTTAGGCTCAAACATCAATATTTCTACTTAGGCGTTGAATAGTACATGAATTTTTCTTATAAATATCAAATACAAAGCCAATTATACAACTGAGAAGACATAAAACTGAAATATAGAATTATATCTTTATTCTGAAGTTTTCAAGAGATATGGCTAAGTATTTTGCACTATACTTCTTGTTCTTCCTTCTATTCATCGCCTCATTAGGTAAACTTTCTTACAAATTCATGAAAAATAATCATGTGTATGTACCACAAAAATGTTTTAATAGTCATAGGATAGTGATAAAATATTTTCAGATTGTTCTTCTTGGCCTCTCTTTTCATTTTGCTCTAATTAATTTCATAAATTTTTAATTTGAAGCAATCATGTATATGGATGCATATTATTGGTTAATTCAATTGCGTACAATTAATTATACTTGTCTGCTAATTGAAAAGGTGGAGACTAGATGGCAGCAGAAGCTAAATACTGTCACAAAACTTGGGATTGCAGTACCTTGGATCGCTGCTTGGATGACTGTAAGAGCCGCTACGGCGGGAGAGGACATTGTCGTACCATGCATGCTCCCTTCATTCCTAAGCAATGCTTTTGCTATCATGAATGTTGAGAGGGGAAAAATATACATAATTAATAAGTCTTACTAATAAGAAGTGTCAATTATATATATGGTAACCAAGGTTGTCAACCCGCGGGTCGACCCGGACCCAGACGAGCTAGTGGGTCAAGGGTTAATGGGTCACCCGTTTTAGCCCGAAAATATTGAAAGATTCATTGTATTGTACTTATCTTGAATTCAACATAGAAAAAAATGCAACACTATCTAAACTCCAACACACTTAAATAACATCAACCTAAAACATAACCAATCTTAAATTCCTCTTCCACGTAAACAATCCAAAATTCCAAATGATTATTAACAATTTCAAGGTTGTCAACCCGATTTGGTCAGTTGGACCGATCGAGTTAGTGGGTGAAGGATTAATGGACTGACCAGTTTAGCCCAATTTAGCTCGATTTAGCCCGATTATGTGGAAGAATTTAAAATTATATATAAATTAAACATAGATTTTGAAATTACAAAATTAAAAATATTCAATTCAAATTTAGTCAATTAAATGATACTGGCAATAGCTAAGCGGAAGCGATCCTACTGCCAACTTTTTTTTTATTCTTTTTGATAGACACAATTGTCCTGTTGATTTGTGGTCTAATATAGTGCTAAATTATATTTATTGTTGTATGACGTGGAAGTCACGTCGCAACCACTTTAGAATTATATGTTGCGTTGTAGACAAAAGAGACTGATGCCTGTCAATATTAACGGTCTAGCTAAATTTCGAGTTTAATTTGTCGATTTCAAAGTGGATGTCATATTTGTTTATGTTCTTAGTTGCTATGTTGATAAATCAACAAAATAGCAAACAAAATTTTAATAAGTTGAATGATTTTTAATTGATTTAGAATCCTTGATCAGTTATTATAAAGTCTCTATTTTAAATGATTGATGTGGTTAAATCACGGTTTTAAATAAACAAAGTCTCTATTTACTATTACATAACTAATAATAACAGATTCATCACACTTCCCAAAACACACTTTCCTTCCTACTTTCCTCCATAAAAAAACATTTTCCTTCCAATTTCCTTCACCTCCAAATCTCCCCTCCCCTCTCCTCCTAATTTTCCTTCACCTACCCTCCTTTTCCTCCCTTCTTTCGGAAACATAGTGTACATAAAGAACGCGGAAATACTCATCAATCACGCACACGACAGTACTTATAAATCCATACAGACAATTTGAACAAGCACAGAGCAGAAAAACCGTACATAAAGTAATGTTAGCGGTAATGGGCTGAGTTGGGCTATGATTGTATTTGGTTAGCTTGTGATAGGCCCATTGTTGAAGTAGCATGTACGTAGGAGTTTGTGGCGGTAACCGAACCCTAGCAAGTGATTACGTGAGCTAGGGTTAGGCAAATATATATACATGTAAACTGACGATGTACCAATGGAAGGGAAAAACCTAATAAGATCATCAGCTCGGAGAGTTCTAGCTCTCCCGTGGACTAGTCCCGATCTCGGGGAAACCACGTAAACAGTGTGTCTCGTTTCCTTCTTCGTTTTCGTATTTGATTCTAGCTAACATGGTATCAGAGCTATCGTCTTTGGATTCTGATAGGGTTTCCGTTAGATTGAACTCCAAGAACTATGCGTTGTGGGAGTTCCAGTTTCGTATCTTCATTGAAGGCAAAGGCCTTCTTCCGTTCCTGGATGGTATGTCGGTGCGGCCTCAAGTCCCGCCGTCGTCTGATGAAGAACTCGCCAGGTGGGTTCAAACGGATGCTCGGGTTAAGTCATTTCTGTTGAGTACAATTGATCCAGTCATTAGCCTGGGTCTTCGGTTGCTTCGTTCTGCTAGGGAGATTTGGGTTCATCTTGCTCAAACCTACACCACCGCTGATCCCCAACGGAAGTTTGAGATCACCTTCGAGTTGGCTCGGCTCGAACAAGGGGACATGGATGTGACGTCGTACTACAACGCGGCGCAATTATTGTGGACCGAACAGGATTTGTTGACTGCTACGTTGTGTTCGGCGGCTGCTTCGGCAGAGGTTATTCAGGATCGACAGCGAACCCGCATGATGCAGTTTCTCAGTCGGCTGAAGCCAGAGTTCGAGTCAGTGCGGGCAAATTTGCTGCAGCGGGAGAGTTTGAAGATGGATGGCATTCTGGCCATTCTGGTTCGTGAAGAAACGTGTCTAAGGATGCAAGCCCAGTTGGATCTTCGGCCGGGTGCTGGAGAAGCGGTGTTCGCGGTCGCGGGATCAAAGGGAGCTGGGGGATCTGTGACTAAAGGCACGCTATCTGCTGGAGGAGAAGAAGAAGCTTATGCTGTGTCTCGTCCACAGTTTCGCCGTCGCATGTCGGAAGTTGTTTGCCACCACTGTCGCCAGCCCGGTCATTATCAGAAGTACTGCAAGCAACGCAATTTTTGCGTCTATTGCAAGAAGAAGGGTCATATTATTACCGAGTGTCGATTAATTCAGCCCCGATCGTCTGACTCTCCTGTTGCACCGCAGCCTCCGCCAGCTAGAGGTGCCTATGCTGTCCGCCAAGCTCCTGCTCCACCGACGGCTCATCCCTAAGGCCAGTATATGACTGCCGAGGCTATCGAGCAGCTTGTGAATTCTGCTCTCCAGCGTTCGTTACCTACGCCAATAACAAGTGCTTTTGCTACACTCCATCAGGCTGGTAAGAATCTCCCTTGGCTTTTAGATTCGGCATGTTTTAATCATATGACGGGCAACAATAGTTCTTTTACGAAGTTACAGTCAGTTAAGTTGGGTTCCATTCAAGTTGCAAATGGTCAGCGGCTAAATGTTGCAGGCATAGGTGATGTTGAGAAGCCTCATATGAATCTTGCTAGTACATTATGTGTTCCAAATCTTGTGCCGAATTTGGTTTCTGTTGGGCAATTAACTGAGCAAAATTGTCGTGTTGTGTTCGATCCCTCTGGTTGTGTGGTTCAGGATCTGAAGACGGGGAGGCAGATCGGAAGGGGGAGTAAGCATGGAAGAGTTTTTCAGCTCGAAGAATTGTCGGGTCAACCTTCGTTACCTCGGTCCTCGTTGAGTCTTGAGTCTCGTGTGCTGCCAGTCTTTTCTAGTTTACCCAATAATGATTTTGAGTTGTGGCATTCTCGGTTAGGACATCCTCATTCCAGTCGGCTTGTAACCATGTTTAAACAACGTCTTTTTGGGAATAAGAAGGTTGATTTTTCTTCGGGTAATTTTCAGTGTGCTAGTTGCGTAGAAGCTAAGTCTACTCGTAGTTCATTTCCTTCTAGTACGACGGTGATTTCTGAGCCTTTTCACATCGTTCACACCGATCTTTGGGGTCCTTCCCCTACAGATTCCCGCCATGGTTACAAGTATTTCGCGTTATTTGTGGATCATGCTACTCGATTCACTTGGGTCTATTTCCTCCGTTTAAAATCCGATCTTTTGTCTGTTGCCACCGATTTCTTAAAAATGATTCAAACTCAATTTGGTAGGACAGTTCGTGTAGTTCGGTCAGATCCTGGGGGGAATTCAGTTCTAATCCTCTAGCCAGTTTATTCCGGTCTCAGGGTATTTTGACTCAAAAATCGTGTCCTGGGGTGTCTCAGCAAAACGGCCTTGTCGAGCGTAAAAATCGTCATGTCATAGAGCTAACTAGAGCTATGTTATTGGTGTCTCATGTCCCTGCTCGTTTTTGGCCTGAGGCAGTGGCTACGGCTGTTCGGTTGATAAACTATCAGATTACTCCTGTTCTTGGTCAACTTAGTCCTCATTTTGCTTTGTTTCAAAGGCATCCGGATTACTCTCGTCTTCGAGTTTTCGGGTGCACTTGCTTTGTCCTTCTTCCGCGTAAAGAGCGAAATAAGTTGTCCTCGAAAACGTCTAAATGCGTCTTTCTCGGTTATAGCGACATTCATAAGGGGTATTTATGCTACGATCCTTCATGTCAACGTCTTCGCATATCGTGTGACGTAGTTTTCTTTGAGCGGCTCATGTTTTACTCTAGTACTCCTGAGGATGTAACTTTTCTCTCTGAGGTGACCCGACTTCCCTTGTTTGATGATGATGAGGACGTAGCAGAAGACCTCATACTCCCCCCCGACTCGCCTGCCCCAGCAACCCCGGCATCCAGTAGCTCCGCCTCGTCTTCGGCCAGCTCATCACCAACTCCAACCAGCAGCTCTTCGTCCGATGATTCTCCTCCCACCAGCGGCTCCTCGTCCGCGGCGTCCCTGCCCTCCTCGCCTCCTGTTCCACGTCGTTCACTTCGGGCTAATAAGGGCCAGCTACCCATCCGGTACAATGATTTTGTGTCCTATAATGTTGAGGCCTTCACTATACCTACTTCCTATAAACAGGCAATGCTCGACCCCAATTGGAATAATGCCATGCAGACTGAGTTTGATGCACTTCATGCCACGGGTACATGGGAGGTGGTGGATCGTCCTCCGGAGCCGGTTATGATTCTGGGTAATCGGTGGGTGTATGCTGTAAAAGTAAAAGCGGATGGCACTCTTGAGAGATTTCAGGCTAGACTTGTGGTACAGGGGTTCGGTCAGGAGTATGGTCTCGACTACGACGAGACTTTTGCTCCGGTGGCGAAAATGCAAACCGTTCGGACTCTTCTTGCTGTAGCTGCAGTTCGGGGGCGGCCGTTGTTTCAACTAGATGTTAAAAACGCGTTCTTACATGGGGATCTCAAGGAGGTGGTGTACATGCGACGTCCTCCAGGGTATACGGTTGGACGTGATGATCAGGTTTGTCGGTTACGTCGCTCCCTCTCTGGTCTCAAACAAGCACCTCGTGCTTGGTTTGAGAAGTTTCAGAGTACAGTTTTAGCCCTTGGTTTTCGGCAGAGTAACAATGATCCATCTCTGTTTTTACGATCTTCGTCTGCGGGTCTCATTGCACTTCTCTTATATGTTGATGATATGATCATCACTGGCGATGATGTTACAGGGATTCAGAAGCTCAAAGCGGGCCTTCATGCGTCCTTTACATTGAAAGAGTTAGGCTCGTTATCTTACTTTCTCGGGCTGGAGATTACTCGGTCACAGAAGGGTATTCTTTTGAGCCAAAGGAAATATATTGGGGATTTGTTGTCTTCTGCCCAATTTGGTGATTGCATTCCTGTCTCTACGCCCATGGAAGTTAATTTGCACCTTAGTCGTGACTCGGGAGTTCCGCTTGTTAATCCGTCTCAGTATCGTCATCTGGTTGGTAGTTTGATATATCTCCCCCATACGAGGCCGGATATTTCATTTGCCGTCCATGTGGTCAGCCAGTTCATGTCCGATCCTCGCGTTGATCATCTCTCTGCTGTTCACCGGATACTCCGGTATTTACAGGGTACTCGTGATGTTGGTATTTTTCTGCCTGCTACTGGCAATCTCTGTTTACAGGCTTATTCCGACTCAGATTATGCAGGCTGTGTTGATACTCGGAGATCGACAACCGGGTGGTGTGTTCAGGTGGGTGGTGCTTTTGTGAATTGGAGGTGTCGGAAACAGGATAAGGTGTCCAAGTCCTCAACGGAGGCTGAATATCGTGCTATGTCAGATGTAGCTTCCGAGTTGGTTTGGATGCAGCGCCTTCTTCTCGATCTTGGTGTTACGTGTCCCTCCCCGATTACTCTTCATGTAGACAACACCAGTGCTATTCAGATAGCGGTCAATCCTGTGTTACACGACCGGACTAAGCACATCGAGATACACGTTCACTATGTTTGTGATCTGGTTCATGAGGGGTTTCTCGTGGTTCGTCATGTTGCTTCCGCTGACCAGCTCGCGGATTTATTCACGAAGCCTTTTCATCGCTCGCGCCATATGTTACTATCGGACAAATTGATGCTTCGAGACCAGCATCAATTTGGGGGAGGCTGTTAGCGGTAATGGGCTGAGTTGGGCTATGATTGTATTTGGTTAGCTTGTGATAGGCCCATTGTTGAAGTAGCATGTACGTAGGAGTTTGTGGCGGTAACCGAACCCTAGCAAGTGATTACGTGAGCTAGGGTTAGGCAAATATATATACATGTAAACTGACGATGTACCGATGGAAGGGAAAAACCTAATAAGATCATCAGCTCGGAGAGTTCTAGCTCTCCCGTGGACTAGTCCCGATCTCGGGGAAACCACGTAAACAGTGTGTCTCGTTTCCTTCTTCGTTTTCGTATTTGATTCTAGCTAACAAGTAACACCATATGTTAGACACGTCCGTTCCACATATGATTCAGTCAAATACGATACGGTATCACAAATCATCGATCGGCCGGAAGTAAGCTAATTCACCAAGTAGCTATAGCTATAGCTAGGCACACTTATTGGTGAGTCCCATCAGGATATAACACAAAGCATTCGGACCCCACACCTCGCCGGCTCCACCTACGTCTCTGCAACCGTTGACCAGGTCGTTGCCCGCACTGGTCAAGCAGTCGTTGCAGTCTTTCTCCGGTTCCAGACTCCTGCCTCTCGTCGAGCAGTAACCGTACCCGTACATGTTCGCCGATCCACTCGGCATCTCCTGAACGTTGCAGTACAGCTGGTTTGGCTGACCTGGCACTTCGCCGGCCAGATCTCTGACGAGGCTCCCCGCCGTTCCCGCATCGCACCCGCCGATGTTGTGGCAGAACACGCTGTTGCCCTCGGCCGCGACCAGAAGAAGAAAGATGGACGACGTGACTGCTATTAACCTGCTGCATACCGCCGTGGCCATATGTTTTACGCTTCTTTGCAATTTTCTTTCTGTTGTGGTATGGTGAAATGTGAAGGGCTAATTTCTGGTCATCACTATATATATTGTAAGAATTTTATATTGGAATTGTGAAAATAATTAATAAACAAGAAAGTTTGATTTTGTTAATTGTAGATCGAAGTTTCGGGATTCACAAGTCATAACTGTGTACGCCTCTAGAGTCTAGAGAGAACACATACTTACGCAACACGTATTCATGGAGTTCGTTCGGCTTTTCTTTGTTTGTGGGATATACCGTGAGGAACGGCTACCTACGAGAAATTATGAATAAGCAAGTTGTTACGGGCGGACACATACCTACGCAACATAATAATGTAATAAGCATGGTTTAGGAAACACTATCGTACCAGCAGGTCGGATATAAAATACAAGATACCGGATGATAGGGCTGGGATAATAGACCCGATTGTTTGAAATTTTATGGTTCAAACCGGATCGTAGACTGTTAAGTACCGTAGTCAAGAATATTCTCAATACGTATAAGCAGCCCACTTCATCACTCTCCCAACTCCCACAATGATATCCAAGTCTCAATCTTAATTTTGAGAATTCTCATCCCCTCTTTCATTCACAATCACATTTCACAAGAGAGTAGAGACGATCGTATCTCCATATGATATAATGTTAATGTTTATGACGTTATGGTGCAAGTTGTGATGTTTTGACTTTGTATCTTTGTAATTTACTGAGATTTAGGGTGTTAAAATTATTCGTGCATGTTGGAATTTATGTTTAAAGGCAAAAATAAAAATATTCAAATGTCGCTTATTGTTGTATGGAGTAAGCTGAGATATGAAATTTGAGAATGCAATGAGGTGTATAGCTTATTGTTGTATAGTTTTTTTTTTTTTAGAAACACGCAATAAAGATAGTGAATTTTAGCAGGAAAGAGGCATAGATGATGCAACGAATAAAAAATCAGCCTTATGAACCAAGTTCGAGTACCTGTTACCTTACAAAACATTATTATTTATGGTAATATGATAAGGTGGAGTAAGTTTTATAGAACCCGAATTCCAGAAAATCGAATAAAAAATTGCCTATCCCGCCGGTCTTCGGGAAATGAGCATCTCAAGATCGTTGCTAGCTTTTACTCGACCCGTTGGCCGATTAATTTTCTTTGTAAAACTTTCATCTTGTCGTCATTGAGCTTTCTGGTTTTTGCCAGACCATGATAAAATCTAAGAAAATCAAAAACGAAACACACGATTTGGGATAGGAACCGCCATTCCTGTATTCCTAGAAATGTTGGTAAAATTAATGGTCAACGCAACCACGTTGCAGTAGTGGGGTAGTAGTCTAGTAGAGGTTAATATAATTAATTCACTACAAGAAAATGATTGCTGGCGACCATTAGTAAATGGTTGTTGATAACTAGCCTTTTGGCAACTATTTACAAAATCGTGCAGACATACTAGAACTTCATCAACTGCAAGTCGGACCAGATCCAGATCGTGATTCTTGTTTCACAGTCCAGACCAAATCGTGCGATTTATTCTAAACCACGATTTTTCATACGGAATTTGATCGATATGAATTTCCTAGCCCTACATGCTATCCACGATGTTCAAGCTTGATGGACCAAGAGACAATGGTTAATTTGACACAACTGCTTATGACACTCACGACATGCTGCAGTGAGTACCCCAAGGTATTGAAAAGCCACATTCCCCTGATTAGCTACCGACCATAATTTTGGCTCCCCTATGAATCCGTTATTAGCTACCGACCATAATTTTTGACAACTAAAGTAAGCGACAATAGAATTTAGCAATGAGCTCAATGAACTAGGGTTTATTATCAAAAGTGTTCGCCTCATTACAAGGACTAAACAAGCCTTTTATAGACTTTGAAACCATAAACCTATACTAAGAAGGGGAAAACTAAGAATATAAGAGTAGTTAGGTTTGATTTTATGTGTTGAATGTTTTTTTTTTTTACCGTGCACTTTAGATTTCGATTTATTTAAAGTTTACGTATTTTCTTGATTATATCATTTGATTTGGTGACACCTCAACTACAATCTTTTCTGGAATACTAGTACTTGGTTCGAAGAAATGAAGCAAAGGGAAGTCTTAAAAATACATTACCCTATGAAATCTCTTTTTTTTTTTAAGTATCACTTTGATCGAAAAACTACTCGGTTATCAAGAAATGTGTAAAAAATAATATCAAATTCTATTATAATCTCATTAGCAAGTTATTAATATCATATCAGTTAAATCTTCGACTATATTATTAATTTGATAGTTATTAAAAGATAAATAAGACTTAAAAGGAAACTTAATTATTTTCCTTACTTTTTCATTAATATCTTGCATTGTTTCTATCTTTCTTCATAAGCCATCATTATGTTGCCTTGCATCCTTTTACTTTGCATGTCAATATTTCTACTTAAGCGTTGAATAGTACATGAATTTTTCTTATAAATATCAAATACAAAGCCAATTATACAACTGAGAAGACATAAAACTGAAATATAGAATTATATCTTTATTCTTAAGTTTTCAAGAGATATGGCTAAGTATTTTGCACTATACTTCTTGTTCTTCCTTCTGTTCATCGCCTCATTAGGTAAACTTTCTTACAAATTTATGAAAAATAATCAGGTGTATGTACCACAAAAATGTTTTAATAGTCATAGGATAGTGATAAAATATTTTCAGATTGTTCTTCTTGGCCTCTCTTTTCATTTCGCTCTAATTAATTTCATAAATTTTTAATTTGAAGCAATCATGTATATGGATGCATATTATTGGTTAATTCAATTGCCTACAATTAATTATACTTGTCTGCTAATTGAAAAGGTGGAGACAAGATGGCAGCAGAAGCTAAATACTGTCATAAGACTTGGGATTGCAGTACCTTGGATCGCTGCTTGGATGACTGTAAGAGCCGCTACGGCGGGAGAGGACATTGTCGTACCATGCATGCTCCCTTCATTCCTAAGCAATGCTTTTGCTATCATGAATGTTGAGAGGGAAAAAATATACATAATTAATAAGTCTTACTAATAAGAAGTGTCAATTATATATATGGTAACCAAGGTTGTCAACCCGCGGGTCGACCCGGACCCAGACGAGCTAGTGGGTCAAGTGTTAATGGGTCACCCGTTTTAGCCCGAAAATATTGAAAAAGTCATTATATTGTACTTGTCTTGAATTCAACATAGAAAAAAATGCAACACTATCTAAACTCCAACACACTTAAATAACATCAACCTAAAACATAACCAATCTTAAATTTCTCTTCCACCGTAAACAATCCAAAATTCCAAATGATTATTAACAATTTCAAGGTTGTCAGCCCGATTTGGTCAGTTGAACAGGTCGAGTTAGTGGGTAAAGGATTAATGGACTGACCAGTTTAGCCCAATTTAGCTCGATTTAGCCCGATTATGTGGAAGAATTTAAAATTATATGTAAATTAAACATAGATTTCGAAATTACAAAATTAAAAATATTCAATTCAAATTTAGTCAATTAAATGATACGAGCAATAGCTAAGCGGAAGCGATCCTACTGCCAACTTTTTTTATATTCTTTTTGATAGACACAATTGTCTAATTTTGATAAACTGAATGGTTAAAGGTCGTCCTATAAATTACTAACCATCGTCCTAACTTAATATGTAATTTACCGAATTGCCCATTTTGAATTTCAAAATCAAACACAAAACAAACAACTCCTCTCCTTTCATAAATCTAAAAAAATATAAACCAAAATCCAACAAATTATCTTATGGACCGAACCATAAATCGTAGTAAAAGAATAGAAAATTATTGATATAAACCAAACAAATCCAAAAAAATTCTGAAACCTCTCAACGAAGCCAATTTTCAGTTGTACCATGGCTCAACCTAAGGCAATTTTCGGTTGTACCATGGACCAACCGAAAATCACCTTCGGTTGCACCATGGCTCAACCTAAGGCAATTTTCGGTTGAGCCATGGTGCAACCGAAGGTGATTTTCGGTTGGTCCATGGTACAACCGAAAATTGCCTTAGGTTGAGCCATGGTACAACCGAAAATTGGCTTCGATTGAGGGATTTTGGATTTTTACCTCGTCGGAGCCGCTACTCATGATTCGGACTTATTCCCAACGATTACGACTCGAGAATGTCAACGATGAATTCGAGAGTGTGGGAAATTGAGTGTTTTTCATTTTTTTAGTTAAAGTGATGTTTGTTTTCTAAAGATGACAAAAGGTTAAAAGTGTAACTTTGTTATTTTTTAGGACGATCAATAGTAATTTTAAGGACGACGTTTATCAATTCCCTTGATAAATATAACCAAACAAAAATTAAAGTATTAAACTATTTTGCTATTTGTTTTTACTTTTTCATTTTTCCCATCATTGGTAATTATGTTTCCGTTGTGCAAGTTCCAAAGAATCACAAAAACAAGTCCCGAAGAGAGAAACTTTAAAGTGCTGCAAGCTATGGGATTCCCTGAAAAATTTCTGGCTTGGTTGAGAATGTGTGTCACTACACCGAAGTTCAGCATTGGTTTTAATGGTGGCTCAGTAGGGTTTTTCCCAACTAAGAAAGGATTGAGGCAAGGGGACCCTCTTTCCCCTATCTCTTCGTTGTGGCCATGGAGATTTTCTCTTGTCTGATGCATAAAGCAATTAATCAGAATGTCATGCTCTTTCATCCTATGTGTAAAAGACTGAAGCTTACCCACTTAATGTTTGATGGCGACCTCTTATTGTTTTCTGATGGCTCAAACTTTGGGATTCAATGTATTCAAAAGGTTCTGGATGATTTTAGATACATGTCTGGGTTAAAATCAAACCCTTCCAAGTGTGAACTTTACTGTGGAGGCATTAATGACCAATGGCAGGAGCTGATGTCTCAGTGTTCAGGTTATAAGTTGGGGTCACTTCCAGTTCGTTATCTGGGTCTCCCTCTGCTTTCTGGTAAACTTACTATTAAAGCCTGCAAACCTCTTATAGATAGAGTTATGAGCAGAATCAATAGTTGGAAGTCAAAAACTCTTTCTTATGCTGGCAAACTTCAATTAGTGATATCTGTGCTGTATAGCCTCTCTCACTTTTGGATGTCAATCTTCATTTTGCCTAAGGCTGTCATTAGAGCTATAGAGAAAATGTGCAGTGATTTTTTGTGGGGAGTTGTTGAGGGTGCCAGGAAGAAAGCAGTGGTTGCTTGGTCTCGAATTACTTACCCCAAAAGAGAAGGGGGACTTGGACTTAAAGATATGTGCACATGGAATCTTGCTTGTGTTGTTAGGCACATCTGGGTTGTTTTGCTTAGACAAGGGTCCTTATGGGTTGCTTGGCTCTGGGAATTTCGTATAAAAGGGGGCAACTTTTGGACTCTAACATCCAAAGCTGGATCTTGGCTATGGCAGAAAATTTTGAAAATCAGAGATAAACTCAGGGGATGGATTTCTGTTGCATCTTATGGGGTTTATTGGAAGGGAGAACTTATGACTAAATTTTGCATAAGGAATGTATGGGAGGAGCTTCGTCCAAAAAGGGGGGTTGTCACTTGGAAATCTTTGGTTTGGAAAGGACCTAGCATCCCAAAGAACCAGTTCCTGGTTTGGCTGGTTGTCACTGACTGTATCATAACTGGAGAGAAAGTTCAGGGGTGGGGTGGCTCTGGTGATTATGGATGTGTCTTCTGCTCATGTAGCTTGGAAACGAGATCTCATCTTTTTGCTTAGTGTTCTATGTTTAAACAGTTGTTTACAGCTCTGTTTGCTAACTTTGCAGATCGAGTCCCTGGGAATCAATGGGATGCTGAGCTTCAGTGGGCTATATCTACTTTCAAAGGTTCCACAGTCTCAGCACAATCTGGGAAGCTAATTTGGCAGGCTTTAATTGCGTCAATTTGGAGGGAAAGATGTTTGATTAAGTTTGCAGGGAAGAAAGCTGACTTCCATGCTCTGGTTCAGCGGGTCCAGGGAGATATTAGGGTGGTTGTTGATCCTGGAATAATATGTTTGTTTTTTTTTTGAGCTCTCAGGTGAACTGATAAGTGATGTGGTATTGTTTTAAGTTTCAGGTGTCTGTTGTTCCCTTTGCTTAGCTGGCAGAGCTCTTGCCAGCAATGTACTTGGTCCGGGCTATTTGGTTTTACCCGAAACAAACAGGACCGTATAACTCGGACTGGGACCGGACCGGACCCGGATAGTAAACAATCCAATCCTATCTTCGGTTTTAGATTTAAGGTAAAAAAAACCGTTTGGGACCGGATCGAAAACCGGATAAAGACCGGATAAGAGAGCCCAACACCCAAAACTTAACCAACTCCTCACCCTTTGAGACCTTAGGCCACTCAAATCTCCACAAGCTAAATCTGAAATCAAGACCGAATTGGGACCGAACTGGGTCAAGACCGGAGCGGATCAAGACCGGAGTGTATCCAATCCAATCTTTGGTCCTTATATTCCCGAAAAGACCGAACTGAAATCGGATCAATTCGAACCAATTTAAACGGACCGGACCGTGTAGCCACCCCTAACACAAATAAGAAGGAGAACCTCCACCAGTTCTTTCTAGATAAACCAACAATGATATAATATGAATTAGCACACATCTAATCAATCCCACCAAAAATTGAAGGATAAGGATTATGCCATAAATGGATGGTTAAAGAAATATCACTTAGGAGAGGATGGCAACTTCTCTGTTTATGCATTACTCGCCCTTGGTCAATTCACTTATTCACCTACTGTTGAGTGATATGAATGTTCTAAATTGTTAAGTGAGAAGATCTAACCTTACTTAGGGCAAATAATCGATCATTTAAATAAGATGCGGATACTTAAAATATCAAACTGGAAAAAAAAAAAACTTTACTTAAAATACCAAATACGATATAAATACCTGATCCAAATATCAGCACCCAACCCAAATACTCCATCTAGAAACCAATTAAGTAGAGCGGCGCTAATTAGTGATATGATTCCCTGCTTGTTTCTGATTGGGAGTTGGGACGACTGATCTGGAAAAGTTGCGGGGTTTCTGCACCATATCTTGGAGAGGGTTTCCGTCAAGTACTGAGACGACACATAATTAAGAAACAAGCTTTCCTTCAATTCGCTAGAAGTCATTTCATAATTATCAAACATACATGTTTTCATCACGCCTGTTTTCATGCATATTGTATATCATGGATCATTGTTCCTGATCCTTCACAGCCATGTATGTCCCGCAGCATGGAAGGGTCGACACGTATTAGGAGGTGCGGCGGAGCAAGAAATTTGGTTAAGATGATTAAAAGAATTTATGTGTAAAGATTTGTGGTAATTGATAATTAGGTTAAATGGCTTTCGATTACATGATATCTCAAATTTGTTATAGATTTTTTTTGGTTATTACTATTTTTTATATCAAACATGCTCATGTACTTTGAAAAAATTATCAAACATGTCCTTATGTTAAAATTTCCATTGAAAAAATCGTCAATCATGGTTGAACCGAGATTTAGACGACCCGACATCGGCAAATGGGAGCGAAATTGTTAGTTTTGTCTCCCGTTTTATTTCTCTGGATCTCTTCAAAGTGAAATTATTTGGATGAAAATTTGGATGAAAATGGTTAACGGTTTTTGGATGAAAATTTAAACAAAAGGGCATGTTTGATCATTTTTTCAAAGTACATGGACATGTTTGATGTAAAAAATAGTAGAAGGACATGTTTGATAAAATGTCATAGTAGAGGGGCATATTATACCTATAACCCATTTTTTTTCTAACTACATTTAGAAGTTGAGCGAGGTTATTATCAGGGTTGTGCAATGAAACGTATCAGACCAAACCATGAATAAGAATTATGATCCAATAGTATAAAAAAAAAATTGGATGAAGGGACCATACTATCCTTGCATTAGATCCGGTGTGGTCTAATTTGGTCAGATTCAAATATTAATTTGATTTTTTTCTTCAGTATTTAAAAATATATGAGGCAAAGAACCGAATCATATTAAATTATGTTTAGTATGGTCCAATTCAAATGTCGATTTCGTCCGATAGGATTAGTTTCGGACCAAACCGTTGCACAAGTACTACCAAGGAGATTTACATGACTCGTCAATTATAAAAGAAAAGTATACTGTGATGTACTGATGTTTATATTGTGATTTTTGTTGAGTTACCTTATTTGCATTTTCGCTGTATTCGGTTGGTTTTGGCCTAAAAGAATTGCAATGAGCAGTCCCAAAGACAATGATTGTGAACAAATTTGAACTCTTTGATCATCTAGAAGACAGAAAGGTTGTTGTTCATTAATTAGTAGTGTGCTGTCCCTTTACAATAGTCTAGAAATCTGAAGATATAATGCTTTTTTGGACCTAACAGTTTGGTCTTTGGTGCCCGATTTTAAAGCAGGATCCAGCATACATATATATATTAGGGGTTATTTGCTTCGTAGGCTTGTATAATGGATTTAGTACCCAAATCCAATTTATTTTTAGTTAAAGGAAATTTATTGTTTGCTTGTAATTTTATAGGGATCAAATCCGTGGATTCTACGAATTTGTAAATTCCAGATATTGATGTGAGATTTGAAACATGTCATAAAACCATGATAGCATTTTCTCGTATATTCTCTTGAACTTTTAATATTCTAAGATTGCCCTCACATTTACCTATTGTACATTATAATTAATCAATTGATTAACAATAAAAATTTTAATTTTCTTGGAATCAGATGTTTGTTGGAATTGGCTTCATCAAACCAATGAAGTTTGTTGGAATCAGAAGTATACGCCTCAAAGTAGTCTCCACTTCATAATCATTATCTTTTCTACGAATAACACTATAAGATTGTTAGGACATCTGTAGGAAATACTAACGAAACAAATTGAAGGCGTGATAGAATCACTATCTTTAGAGTGTTATTTGCCTCTACTACGAATTGCCGATAGGAAACAAGCAAATCGCTACAGGAGTCCATATTATCAAAGTCTAGAAGCAGCAATCTTTCATATTTTTGTGTATAATTTTGAGAATAAAAAACTTGGAAGAAGAAGAACGTTGAAAAAGAATTGTGGCAACAACAAACTTTTTATTGTGAAATTAGCAGTTCTCTTCCGAGGGATTGCTACTGTTTCTTCTGCAGGACTTCAAGGTTCCTCGTCCACATCCAGTTAGTCTTTATTGTGATAATTAGTCAGCTATTTATATAGCTGAAAATCCCACTTTTCATGAAAGGACCAAGCATATCAAACTTGATTGTCATCTTGCTGGTGTGATCAAGGTTATCCATGTTGATTCTGATCATCAGCTCGTTGATGTCTTAGCCAAGCCTCTCTCTCCTGCTCCGTTTAGGTTCCTCGTCTCCAAGTTTAGGGTACTGAATCTGTACCCTCCATCTTGTAGGGGGGTGGGGTTTAACAAAAGAAACCAACAAGATTTTTCTTCTCCAAGGCTCGAACCCGGTTCAGGAGCAGAAGACACTCTCACTAAGCGAAGTGGCGTCGTTCCATCTTTCTCTGAAGCATATTCAGGTGTCACGTGTTCGCGCACGTATTGGAGTTTTAGGAACCAAAATGAGAGGCGAGCGTTTCCAACGGTCTATACATCGATCGTTTTTACTATTCATCGCGTACTGTAGTTGTTTTTCACCAGTAGCCGGATGTTTTTTCGGATTGTAGCTTGGTCTATATATCTGGAACGAGAAGAAGGAAAGGGGGAAGGCTTGAAACCCTAAAGCATTCACACAACCAATTCGTTGTCACCACCAAGCATCACAGCAACTGGATTGGAGGCCGGCCGGCTATTAACTCCTTAGTTATCATCTTTGATTTTTGTTTAATTGCTCCTCTAGTGTTTGTAATATTTAGCTTTGCAGACTCTGCAGTCTGCACCTGAATCAAACCAATTCTCCGAGGGAAGCACAATACAGAATGGACCGCTACCGTTCAAATACTTCACTCAACGCAAAGAAACAGAGTGTATTAATACCAATTCTGTTTCTGTACTGTACACTGCCCGCTCCCCTGCCCTGCCGACTCTCCTATATAAGACCAAACTCAACCGCCACTCTCTTCCCTCACTTATCTTCTTCTTCTTCGCTCATTTCCCCTTTCCCTTCTTCTCTTTCTCTGCTACGAGGTCAGCAGATTCCATATCCCAAAACCTCCGATCAACCAGAAAGAAACGAAGAACTAGCAACCGCACAATGCAGGACGTCCCCCACTTCATCTTCGGCATTCTGGGTACCTACTCTGCAACTCTTCTTTCCCTCTTCTCCTTCGCAATCTCTTTCTTTAACCCTCGTTTTGCTGATTCTCCGTTCCCTTTGGTCGTTGAATTGCTTACAGGCAACGCCTTCGCTCTTTTCCTCTTCCTCGCCCCAACGTGAGTGTGTACCGTTCAATTCAGTTTCCTCTCCCCCAGAAACAGAGCTTAATTTATGTTTGCATTCACGGTGCTCGACGAAATTCCTCACTGGGGGGATTATTCCTATTCGTTTTTCTTTCTTTAAATTTTGGCAGGATTACTTTCAAGCGGATAATCAAGAACAAAACGACCGAGGAATTCTCCGGCGTCCCCTACGTGATGACGCTGCTCAACTGCCTGCTCTCGGCCTGGTACGGCCTCCCGTTCGTCTCCAAGAACAACCTCCTCGTCTCCACCATCAACGGCACCGGCGCCGCCATCGAGATCGTCTACGTCCTCCTCTTCCTCATCTTCGCCCCCAACAAGGTGAGGGCCAAGATCGGCGGCCTCTTCGCCGCCGTCCTCACCGTCTTCGCGGTCGTCGCGCTCGTTTCTGTCTTCGCACTCCACGGCAACACCCGCAAGCTCTTCTGTGGCATCGCCGCCACCGTCTTCTCCATCATCATGTACGCCTCCCCTCTTTCCATCATGGTAAGTTTCCCCATTTAATTAATTAAGCTTAGTGATCTCATCGATTTCCCACATGGGCGAATTATTAAACACTTAACTAATCCATCCTTCCCCTTTTCTTGTAAGTGACAGTTTAGAGTAAAAATGCAATCTTTTTTAACCTTTTCGTGTTTTCTTGGTGGTAGGGAAGGGTCTCTATTTTGTTTGTATCCGTGATTTGATTGGATAATTACTTTCTGTTAAAGATTGATTACTTTTGCTTATGTGTACTAGCTGTTCGTTTGGTAATACCACGATTTTATCGCGATTCTTGAGATCTTTCACTACAATTTGAACATGATTGAGTTGAAATTTTGAGGGTCTGCTAAGAACTGACTACTGCTGCAGAGGCTGGTGATCAAAACGAAGAGCGTGGAGTTCATGCCATTTTTCCTGTCACTGTTCGTGTTCCTGTGCGGCACTTCTTGGTTCGTGTTTGGGCTCCTCGGTGGCGACCCTTTCATCGCCGTAAGTAAAAATTCATTTCACAATTCACACCCTTAATTGGGCTCGTTTATTCTCATCTCCGTCATTAGTAATTATATGATTGCTGTGGATTTCGGGATGGATTATATGCTTAAAATGGGATCTTACGTGCTTCATTGCCCAATACTCTGTTCGTGTATCTCTCTGTCTCTGTGTATGAATTGACATTTGACAACAACTTTTCAGATACCTAATGGGTTCGGGTGTGGATTGGGAGTGATGCAACTGATCCTCTACTTCATCTACCGTAACCACGACGGCGGGGAAGACAACGAGAAGGGCGGCAATGCAGAGAAGGAGTCGGCGATGGAGATGGGCTCCCAGAAGAAACCCAGGCAAGGAGGCAACCATATTAATGGCAACGATGGACCACGAGCTGCTGGCCCGCCAACCGCCATGAACGGATCCCAAGATGAGCAAGTGTAGAAACAAGCGGGAGAAAGAAAGAACGGCAAACTTTCAGCCAGAAGGTTTTTGGGGAACTTGGTCTCTTCGGTTTGTAATTCTCCCCCATTATATTTCTCATATTGTAGAGCTACTATAAAACACCAGCTTAGAAGGGATAATGTACGTAGCTGGGGGCCGATTGTGATGATCGCAAGCCCCTGCACAAGGAAGAATTTTCATCCGCCAAATGGAAAATAAAAAGAAAAAGGATTGACTTGGCAAAACACTAGAGAGGAACAGTTTTACAATTCTTTGCTTTTGCATATTTGATCCCAATTTTAGGTGGTCGACAAAAAAAAAAAAAATGTCACCATTGTGGTCCTAATTAATTAACCAGCCAGCTAAGTCAGGACCAGTACCAGGACTAGGACATATGCATGTTAGGCGCAACATACATGCAACGTGTCAGATTTCATATGCGCAAACCAAAAGTTGTTGGGGGCCTGCTCTTGTCACTCACTAAATACCGTGGTGGAGCCAGTAATCTCCATTTTGTGTACAAATTAAGTTGATCCACATTTTGTTAGTGTTGTGGTATATGATCCACGATTGAACCTCTCCCAACAACTTGACTTATTGGGATCAATTGGTTATTGACATGGTATCAGAGCCTTTTGTGACCGAGAGGTCTTGTGTTCGATTCCCGGTGACCCCCATTTGTTAAGCACGTGGTATTCTTGTCTTCAAACCTGTGCAAACTTCAAGCCCTTGTGAGTTGGCTTTCGTCTGAGAGAGCGTGTTAGTGTTTATCTATTCAGTATTGCGGCGCAACATCAACACGATGATAGCTTCATATTTATTATCTTATCAGAGGATCCGTTTCCTAGCAACACGATGATAGCTTCATATTTATTATCTTATCAGAGGATCCGTTTCCTAGCAACAAAATACTGTTGTTGTTGTTGTTGTAGCTAACAGACAAATTCCTGTTTGAACAAACCCCAAAAGGATGTAGAGGCGTAGACGTACCTACACCAACCAATACCATACTGACGAATTATATATGCAACTGATGTGGCGATAGACATTATAGATTATACCGTCGGTATCTTGATCGACTTTAGAAGAGTTTTGTTAAGTCTGAACGAATGCTCCTTTGAGGGCTGAGGCCCGATCATTTTGACCCTTTATTGGGCAATAAAGCCCAATGAGTTCGACCAATTCCAGTGCAGGAACGGGTTGTCAAACATGTTTAAGTCATTGAATCGATTAAGTAAGTGGTTTGAAGTTTATTGATCTTATCGGGGTCGATCGATTTAAGCCGTTTTATACTTTTTAAAAATATGTAGTAATTTAAAGGGTAAATGCCACATTTGGTCATTGAGATTACTAAATCGTGTTATGTTTAGTCACTAGAAAAAATTTGATATCAATTTTGGTCACTCAAATTACTGCAACAGGTTACATTTGGTCACTCTCTCCTGTAGACTCTGTCCAACTCCGGTCACTCGAGGTATTGAAACATATCACATTTAGTCACCCTCTCGTTACTTTCCGTCCAACTCCATAATGGAGTTGGACGGAAACTAACGAGAGGGTGACTAAATGTGACATGTTTCAGTAATTCGAGTGACCAAAATTTATATTAATTTTTTCTAGTGACTAAACATGACACGATTTAGTAATCTCAGTTACCAAATATGGCATTTACCCGTGATTTAAATTAATGACTCAAATGAAATTTATCTTCTAGTTATTAATACCTTATTTCTCACAAAATAAAACCTATCTAACCCCCATGACTAGGGGTGGCTATATGGTCCGGTCCGGTTAAATTGGCCTGAATTGATCCGGTTCCGGTTCGGTCTTTTCGAGAATATAAGGACCAAAGATTGGATTGAATACATTCTGGTCTTGATTCGATCCGGTCTTGACCTGGTCCGGTCTCAATTCAGTCTTGATTTTGGATTGAGCTTGTGGAAATTTGAATGGCCTGAGAGCTCAAAAGGTGAGGAGTTGGTTAAGTTTTGGGTTTTGGACTCTCTTATCCGGTCTTTATCCGGTTTTCGATCCAGTCCCAAACGATTTTTTACCTCAAATCTAAGCCCGAAAAATGGAATTGGATTATTTGCTATCCGATTTTGGTCCCGCTCCAGGTTATACGACTAACAGATGCCAAACTTTTGAAGAAGAAATATCCTGGAATTCCACACACAAACAGTAATTGCCTACCTTTTCTGATTGCTTGCTGAACAAAGACGAATCCCAAATAATAAGAATCCCCCCAGCACTGCCAATCGCTGGTTTAGAAACCCAACTGAAACTCCTTCTGCCGAATATATTTCTCACAATCATGTCCGAACACTGTTCCAGTTTAGTTTCAACAAGCCCTACAATACTGGGATTCCTGCGAGTAATGAAGCCTTTTACACGAAGTCTCTTGTCCGGGTCTCCAAGACCCCTTACGTTCCAGAATAAGGCAGAGGACCCCATTAAGATTCGTCACCAACTTCCCCCCTCCTTTTCCTCCGCCTTCTCGGGCCATTCACTGGGGCATCCAGAGGACCGAGCCTGCGTAACTCCATATCCAGCTTTGATCGGGAGTGTCTAACCTTTTTCTCGTGCAAAAGCTGCGCTTTGGAGATAATGATCTGATTGGTAACCAATTGACCTTCATCTTGCTCCAGACCAAATATATGTTTAGGGCCCTTTTCTACGTTGGCCACGTGTTTAGCTATAGCCATGGCTATTGTATTGAAATTCATTAGAAATATAAATCATAAAATTAAAATAATATACTCTAAATATTTTTAAAAAAATCATACTTTGAATTTGTCTGATTGTGATTTATGAATGTTTTCCTTCTTTTTAAGGGAAAGTAAACTCCATGAAATGAAAGGTAAAAATAAACATGAAATTGGAATAAATTCTAATTATATCAATTTTGTTATTGTCATGGCTAAAAATAATGATGAATTTGGATATCACATTCGAATTAAAAAAAAAAGAGAGTGACAAAATATATGAGAGATAAAAACTCCCATTTATTTATAGTTTTTCTTATATTATAGGGAGTCAAAACATGAGAGTATTACTAATTATATTAAGAAGAACATAAATTCAATAGATGGAGAACACAATGGAACTTCAATCTTACCTTGCATATCTTTGCAAAGAACAAATCAAAATAGATTTCATCAAATTTATCATTAAAATTACTATTTAATTTGCGATTACATTACTTGAAAATTCAAATTATAATATCCAAAAGAATACCCGGTGCAGAGCCCGGGCCATTTATCTAGTAACAATTAACAAATAATAGTTACAAGAACGCTAATTTAGCAATTCGACACAACAATGGATTAAAAGGAAAATTATTTATTCATTCCTTACATAGAGGTAAAGTATTGTATAGTCCCTACGATTTTGGATAACTGCAAAGTGGTACCCAATTCCCATTTTTGATTTTTCAATTGCCAAGCTGAGGACCATTCTCTTCCCAATTCCCACTTTGCCACTCGTTCCATCTCTCAGTCCACCTTCGGCCTTCCATCGGAGATCCACCAATTTTGCTGCCGCCGAGCTTGCCTCCGGCAAGTCATATCGTCTCGCTAGATCTTCACAAATCGTAGCCGCGCTCCTTTCGTTGCCCTTCCAGCCGCCGCCGCAGCCGCTTGATCCGCAATCACTGGCGCCGCGGCCTCTCTTCCCATTCGACGTATGTGAAGTTTGTTTCGAGACTCTGTCCAATTCTTCGATCTGTTGCCGCATTCGATCGGTGAGTTTGATATTGGCTTCCTTCTCCTATGAAATGGTGATAATAGAAGGAAATGAGATCTGTAAGGGTGAACAGTAATGTGTAATTGAGTATGTGTTACAGGAGAGTTCAATGTAGGTTCTGCAATCAGCTTTTCTCCATAAAATTCCTTGGCTGTTATGTTAACTATTATGTTAGTTGTACTGTAATCCTTAATTCGCTAAAGTATGCAATCCTTTTCTCTGAAGATCCAGCTCCTTCCGAACCCCTTTCTCAGTTACAGATTTTGACTCCATCTGGCTTCAAACTTATTGAAGCAGAAATGGGAGCTGAAAATGGGGACGAAGCATCGGTTATGGCGACCCTTCTTCCTCTTGCTTCTGCTTCTCAGCAGCCTTATGTGTCTGAGCTTCTATCCTTCACTCTGGATCGACTCCACAAAGTAAGCGAATTTCATGAATAGTTTCTTCCCCATTTCTCTGTTTTAGTTTTGTCTTGTCTATTCAAATTCTCGGGGAATCTTAAGCACTAGTTTAACTTGCTTCCGATGTGGCATTGCAAGGAACCTGAGTTACTGCGGGTTGATGCTGAGCGAATAGAGAGACAAATGCAGGAGGTGGCAGTGGGGAACTACCATGCCTTCATTGTTGCCACGGATGCTTTAAATGCGATTAGAGAAGAAGTGTCCAATGTTGATAAGCTTCTGGAATCACTAGTAAGAATGACTACTACCAAAGCTACCCTCTTCATCTTTTATGCTGGTTGCTCACATAATGCAGGCAGGAAGTTGGTTATTTGAAGCATGCATTGCTCTTTTCTTTGTCATGTCCTTGTTTATGTGAATTGTTAGTTTAATATATTACATTGACTGCATTGGTATAAGCCTGAATCATTATCTCTCGGACGCTATTTTTCTTTGGAAAGATATTTACACTGCAAAATTATTGGGAAACTAGAGTAAGAGGAAACTCCCTAATCTTCAGTAGCTGCAGTGAACATGTCATCATATGGAGTCTTCCTCAAGGGGATATGCAATACCTTTCTTCTCAGTGATATCATCAGGATGTCAGTTGATATTTCCTTTTTTTTCTTTCTTTCTTTGGCAGATCTCTGAAATCCCTGAATTAATATCTGGCTGCACTGAGTTCATTGAATCCGCGGAAGAGGTCCTGGAGAAGCGGAAGATGAACCAAATGTTGCTCTCAAACCATAGCACATTGCTGGATTTGCTTGAAATTCCACAACTTATGGATACGTATGTACTTGACAAACTTTATGCTGACGGTTGAACCCCTTTTTGTTGCCAAGTTACTACCAATTGTTATGCCTTGATGAAAACCAAGATACTGGACGCATGAAAATGTCTGTTCCTGAATGTTGTAAAGTTTCCCATTCTTTGCCCTGCATTTAGAACTTTATATAGTGTCAGAATGGGGTAGGATTTTCACTCTAACTAGAAACAATGAGAATTCAAAGATGTATAGTTTCACATCTGCTTCTGTATGTCGGAATATGGTCACAAATTTATTCATTGTTGTATATTATAGGTGTGTGAGGAATGGTAATTATGATGAAGCTCTTGACTTAGAAGCATATGTTACCAAACTTGCGACAATCCACCCCAAGTGAGTATATGTAAACTATTATAATGTTAAACGTTGGAGAAGATGAGTGATCTGACTTTTCCTCATTCTCAAAGATTACCCGTCATCCAGGCTCTAGCTGCTGAAGTTAGACAGACAACCCAGTCTCTTCTGGCTCAGCTTCTCCAGAAACTTTGTTCTAATGTTCAGGTACTAAAACATTGGCTCCAAGTTCGGTTGGTTTAACAGTCATTGTTTTATCTAAGTTCTTGTTCATGTTTGTTTGTCTCTTTTATGCAGTTGCCAGAGTGCCTCCGTATTATTGGCTACTTGCGTCGAATAGGAGTGTTTTGTGAGTATGAACTGCGTCTGCAGGTAATCTAGTGCAGTACATTTGCTTATTATTATTCTTTTTGTTTTCACAACGTGATAATCCTGATAAAGAAAATGTTTTTGTTTCAGTTTCTGAGATGCCGGGAGGCATGGCTTACAGGTATTCTTGAGGATCTGGACCAAAGGAATGCTTATGAGTTCTTGAAGGGAGTGATAAACTGCCACAGAATGCATCTCTTCGATGTCGTAAACCAATACCGGGCAATATTTGCTGATGATACATCAGGAAGTGAAGAAAACTCTGATGGTGGGCTTCTTTTCAGTTGGGCCATGCATCAGATCACTTCACACCTTAAAACTCTCAAAATAATGCTCCCAAAGATAACTGAGGGTGGACCACTTTCAAATATTCTGGACCAGTGCATGGTGATTATTCCCAGTTCTGTGCTTTATTTTGTGATGGTTCCTTATTTTCAATTTACTGTATGGTGGTTTATGGCTATTTCTTGTGCTATTTACAGTACTGTGCAATGGGACTTGGTGGTGTAGGGCTGGATTTTCGAGGCTTGCTTCCACCTCTATTTGAACAGTAAGTCATTTTTTCTCTATTAACTCGTATTGCTTTATCCGAAATTCCCTTTTGTAAAACAAGGCTCGATATTTTGCAGGGCAGTTCTCAATTTATTCTCAAAGAACATGGGTACAGCAGTTGAAAATTTTCAGGTGGGGATTTGCTTAGTAGCTAGGCCATACATTTATCAGCTGATTTTTATTTTGTTTCCAACCTTCTGTCTAACGTCATGTATGTCTTCACATCAGTTGGTTTTAGATTCACATCGCTGGGTGCCAATGCCAGCAGTTGGCTTTCCAGCTAGTAATATGGGTGAAGAGACCCATGATGACATATCTCCACCGCCGTATCTAATGGAGCATCCACCTCTAGCAGTTTTTGTTAATGGTATGTTAGAAGATGTTCACTTTTCAATTCAATTTCTTTCCGGGGGCATTGGTGGCGTGATGCTTATTGCTACGGACTCTACTATGTGGCGGCTCAATGACCCAAATCATGATCCCCCTGTTGACTTGTCTATGAAGTAATTTTATTGTAGAGCTGAATTACTGATCTTTTGATCTTAGGGTGCGTCATAAAGAATACTGATTGTGGTTTTGCTGGTTGTTTGCTGTGCTTGTGACCTTAAGGCCTGGTATTTTTTTATTGGTTGTAGGTGTGTCCGCTGCAATGAACGAGCTGCGCCCGTGTGCTCCACTAAGTCTGAAACATGTGCTTGGTGTAGAATTAATTAAGGGATTGGAAGCTGTTGCAGACTCTCTGTTAAGGTACAACGCCACTAGGATGCTCAGAGAAACTGAGTCTGCACTTTTCCTCTCACTCTGCAGAGCATTCATAGAGGTAGACACTCTTCTGTCTTTTCTCCTTAGGGTGCTACAACTCTCTTTGTCCTTCCTCTGAAAATTCCTTATCTGCAGATTGTCCATCCGCATTGTGCTGCATGCTTTGGCCGCTGTTATCCAGGAGGGGCTGGTTTTGTTATGGATGCCAAGAATGTACTCGATGGGGTCGGCCGCCTATTAGCGACGGCTTCCTCCAGGGAGCTCCCGAAGCCAGCGAAAATTTCAGAGGAGAAGGCTGTAATGGAAAATGGTGATGCCCCCGTGGTCCAAAATGGGACGACTTCTTCTGATGGAGAACAGAGGAACGAAATGGACGGAACGAACGTAATTAACTTGCCAGCAGAGGAAAGCAAGGTGGATGTAGCTGTTAAAGCCACATGATGTCGGGTTTGTTCTTCCAGTGGCCATTGCTAGGTTGTAGGATGCATGAGGGCTGTGGTCTGTTCTGTATAGGCTTTTGTAACGCTGTAGATAGAGAACTCTGTTTTAGTTGTCACAAAAAATAAATCGATTCAGGAACTGGGACTTCGGAAGCTCCAGTGGTTGGGTGTTTTTATCTCGCTTGGAGAGTCTGTTTGTGACGTGAGTCTGTCAATGTTACCGATCATTGGGCCAATTGGATTGATTACCATTTAACGGACATTGATTAATGGGTCGTTTGATGTGGTATGTGGGTGTCTTAGGGTATTTGATCCAAAATAGCACGTTTGATTAGGAAAGAAATGGATACAAATTTTGGTTCGGGTTATTCTCCAATTATCGCAAACCTATTATGTGGGGAGGACTAGTATTTCTCAAATAACAGGTTGTTGGGATTTTTTCTCTCAATACACGAGTTCTAAAAAAAAAAAAAAATTCGATCTACACATGTTTTTATCATCATTGTCGTCATCAAAAACAGTGAACATAATCATCGTTATTTAGAACGACGGCGAATTTTTCACCGCAATCAATAACAACGGTGAACACATCATTGCGGTTAAGGAAAACGGTGAATATATCACCGCGGTTAAGAAAACGGTGCATCACCGCGCTAAACAAAAACGGTGAACGCATCATTGTTAACGTAAACGGTGGATTCCGCAATTGAGAAGAGCGGTGAACATTTGTCACGTTTTCCAACTCCTGGTAGGTGAATAATTAGGTCACAACGACCTAGCCTTCACCGCATTATACTAAAGCAGTGAACGTGTTGACCGCCTTGGACAACCATAGTGATTGCTGACTGTTTTTCATATAAATAAACGATCCAAGCGTAGTTGATGAAAAAATCTCCCCCATTTCTATCAAATTTAAGCAACAATCCCCTTCTCGGCCTGCTTCCAGCAACTACGGTTACATAAACTCCAATTTTTTCGGTATGATATAATACTATATTGTTTAGATTTTGATGTTTCAGTAGTTATATGTATGTATTTAATGAGTTATTGTTAAAGGCAAATATGTTATGTTAGAGATATTTAGATTAATTATGGTATGATTGATGTTAGTTAGTTATGAATTTAGATGAATTTTTTAGTATACTCATGTTATTGTAATGCTAATTATGGTCCATGTTTCGATTAGTTAGTTGCGGTTATTTATGGTTTTGGATGATATTATTTTCGTAGCCCTAAAAATATGGTTTTGGATAATGTTTGTGTAGCCCCAAGTACTAATTATACTATACTAATTTTATTAGACTTAAGCTAATAGTTACTTATTATAACAGACATGGGTAAATTTAAGAAGTTTTAGCTTCTTATTTGGTGGAATCGGATGACAAACTCTGGCATTGGGATCGATTATGAAGACGGTGAATCCGCTATGTTGAAAATTGAGTCGAGATTCAGGTGACAAGAACTCCGTGACATTTGTGCAGACATGATTTGTATGAGCAGACAAACGAGAGTTGGTAAAATTACTTACCGGTATCCAAACATGAGTGTTGGCTGGGTTATGTACGAAGAAGTTGTCATACATGATGATGACGTTGTTACCATGATGTTACAGTTCCTAGCTGACAACCAGATACGGCTTGCAGAGGTATATGTTAAGATTGAGGCAGTGGGTGAAACTCATTCTCCCCAGTATTCTTATGATGATGGTTTTGCAGGAGGGTACGAATGGGGTGGTAGTTCATGCATGTATTTTTGGATTTTCCCCAGGTTATTGTCTATTTTTTCTAATCCCAAATTATTCTCTCTTTTTAAGTCATATCTTTTGTCTTTTCTTTCCTAATTATCCCCGTAATCATTACTTGGTTGTTCCTCTTATCTTAATTATGCATAACACTAACAAAGATATCATATGTCTTGACAAACTTATAAAACTTCGGACATATAAATATTGTTTAAATTTACATTTTAAAATTATGTAACTAAATTTTTTAAACACACTATTATATTTATACGACGCAGACAATTTTGCATATTTAATATATTAATATATGCATGCTGACCAAACATGCACACACGTTGATCAAGAGAGCAAGATATGGGATTAGAATAAATTGGTATAAAAAAAACAAATTTAAGTACAAAATATCAACAACACCACTACTTGATATTTATAATTCATCCAAATGTGATATTTCGAAAAATTACCACATAGAAAATAATTGGTATTGGCATGTAATATTGTGAACATAGCAGTCAAAATCGGGATTTTAAGTAAAATCGAAAAGAGGGGTAAAATCAGAATCGTAAAATCGAATCATAAAATCGTAGGATTTTAAGGTCCATATAAAAATGAAGATGGAATAATATTAATAAGAAAAATCATGAATAACACAACAACACATAACAATTACAATGATAATTTCTCAGGTTAATATTCTGATTTACCAAGGATAATGTTGGGAAGTGGTGAATCGATTATGATTAATATGTTGATGTGAATTGATAATGATTGATGGTGGTTAGTGTGCGAAAACTAGATGATGTAGGTTGAGGAGAAGGAAATTAGGCGTAATTTTGCAAATTCTGGGGGGGGGGGAGATAAAATTGATACAAAGATTTGAATCGTAAAATCGTAAGATTTTGAAGATTTTAAGGATTTAAATCATGAATAGTGTAGGATATAGAACTTAGGGATAGAAGGAACAACCGAATAGATAAGACTGTCAGGTTAGGGAGGTCGAAAAACCTCTAGATTATGGTCAAACCTAAAATGAGAATTCAAAAAATGACTTAATGCTGATTATATGGTAAAGAGGACATCATATCTAGGGCTAATTGATAGAATGTTAATAAGTGAGGGCATCTGGTTAATGCTAATTTGGAAATTCCTATAGTATGGGAACAATATATTTTTTCTGATTAATGAGTTTGTTTACTGTCTGTGGTCGGAACAAAACACGAGAAAAATGTGATCAATTGAGTTAATAAGTTGATAAAAGTCGATAAAATAAATTATAGGTCAATCATTTTGTCAAATTGAGAGATTATAAGTAGAAAGTAGATTAACTCTCTGATCAATTCAAAATTAATATGTCGATTCGAACGGGTTAATTAGGTTGGACCGGAATCACAACCATGTGCTTGTTTTTTTTTTTTTAATGATTGCATGACATCCATGAGCCCATCCATCCATACATCCATGACCGGAGCATACACCATTAGGGAAGCTAGTGCAGAAAAGGGAAAGAAAGAGAGAGGAAGAGCATTTGACTTCGTTTTGGGAGAGAGGAAGAGACGAAATGAAAAGAAAAAACAGAAAATGAAAAGAAAAAAATATAAATTAAAAAGGGGAATGAGAAGAGAAGGGAGCAGAGCAGCAGAAGAAGAAAGAATTTGATCGGATTGAATCAAATTTTGACGTCCGCAAGGACACCATACACACACTTTCTCTCTCCCCTCTCCCTTTCTCTCTCTAGACACACATCTCTTTCTCTCTCTAGATACAGCGAAGAAAACAGGGCGAAACACAACGCAGGAAAAAAATATACTCAGTGATAGAGAGAGAAACCCAGATTTTTTTTCCGCCGGCTGAGAGCAGAAACTATAGGAGAAGCAAACCCTAGTGGATTGTGGAGAGAGCAACAGAAAGATTGGAGCTTTGCTCCCATAATCGTGAAAACCAGTGTATTGATAAGGGGAAAATTTTGGGAAGATTTTTGGTTGAGAGATATATACTGATTAAACGGAGGAGCTTTTGCGGCTTTTGAGTCTCTTTGTGGTAAGTTTCTGTGTGCACATCTTTCTCTCGAGGTATTCTTCAGCTGTTCTTAGCTCAGTACCATTTCTTTGCTTTTTAAACATTCACTTCTCCAATCCCTTATTCTCCCCACGCATTGGTATGTGAGTTCTGGATCATTTGATTCATAGTTTTGGAAGTCTGATCAATTTTGCTCCGGCTGCTTTAGGGTATTTTAAAGAAAGTTTCGATTGCTTCTGCAATCCCATCTTTACTTCATTTTGTCAGCCGAAGAATTTTCAGATTTGAATTTGAGCCATTTTTCTGCCGGCTAATAAGCTCTTCTGTCAGAGAATTTCATTTGGGTCCTGCTAAATGTTATCTCTTTTGCGTCGGGGTTTAAAATTCCGAGTTTTTATCACTGCGATAGATTTTCCTCGATTACTCATTATTTGGGTCACTACTGAATTCTTGGGCGGTAAAACTGAGATCTGAAAAACTTTCCATATTCGCAGAGCTCTGCATGCTGAGAGCAGCTCAGTTACCAGCTGGCTTCCAGAAGATAGAGCTGCTGCTCTAGAATGTACAGAAGTAAAGGTTGTCCCTTGCTTCATGCCAACTTTGTGTTTGGTGAAACGCAGCTCTATATGTTTAGGCTGCATAAAACATACTCGTCTTTGTTGATACAACACTACAATAAGGACTCACTATTCTCCAGCCTTGGATGTGGAGTTGAAATGATATCTAAGTCCACCTCTATGTTTGACTTAAGTCACTTTGTTATGTGAGTTTAGGTTTAAAAATTCAATTCATGTTGTTTTAGGTTAGTTATCTACTTCCGAAATAGAAAGTTTTGCCTAGATTGTAATTCTTGATAATATGGTTCCGTCGGGGCAACCTACTCCGATCGGTGGGTCCCAATCTGTTTCTCCTCAACTTCTGAGATCGAATTCGGGAATGCTTGGAGCTCAAGGAGGCGCTTTGTCCTCACAATCTGCATTCCCTTCTTTGGTCTCTCCACGTACTCAGTTTAATAACATGAATATGCTTGGAGGAGTGCCCAATATGTCGTCTTTACTCAATCAGTCATTTGGTAATGGTGGTCAAAACCCGGGTCTTTCTGCTCCTGGAAGCAGTCAGCATAGAGGTATCGACACTGGTGCTGAGTCAGACCCACTTTCGGCTAATGGAATGGGGTTCAGTTCTCCTTCATCATCTTTCGTTCCGTCGTCAAATATGGTCAATGCTGGTCCATCAGGTCAAGTTCAGGGTCAGCAGTTTTTAAACCCACCTTCTGGTAATAACCAGTTATTGCCAGATCAACAGCAGGCATCTCAGCAGCTCGATGCTCAGTCGTTTCAGCACAGTCAGCAGCCGATGCAGCAGTTTTCTGCCTCTCACAATACTCAGCAGCAGCACCAGTTTCAGACAATGAGAGGAGGAATGGGTGCTGTCAAGATGGAACCACAAGTGACACATGATCAACATGGAACACAACAGCAACAGCAGCAGCAGCAGTTGCAGCCACTTCGGAATCTAGGTTCTGTCAAACTGGAACCTCAACAAATGCAGACAATGAGAACGTTGGCACCATTGAAGTTAGAACAACAGCACTCAGACCAATCATTGTTCCTGCATCAGCAGCAGCAGCAGCAACAACAACAACAGCAGCAGCAGCAGCAGCATCAGCAGCAGTTTCTTCACATGTCCAGGCAGTCTTCTCAGGCTGCTGCACAACTCAACCTCTTGCATCAGCAAAGACTGCTGCAGCTTCAGCATCAACAGCAGCAACAACTCATGAAAGCAATGCCTCAGCAGCAACGTTCGCAATTACCACAACAGTTTCAGCCACAGAGTTTGCCTCTACGATCTCCGGCAAAACCTGTGTATGAACCTGGAATGTGTGCCCGACGTTTAACACGTTACATGTATCAACAACAACATAGACCTGAAGTAAGTTTTCTTAGCTGGAAAAGCTATATCTGGGACTTGTCTGTTTTGATATTTAACTGCAGATACTGTTTTGTTCAGGACAACAACATAGAATTCTGGAGAAAGTTCGTAGCGGAGTACTTTGCTCCCAATGCAAGGAAGAAATGGTGTGTTTCTATGTATGGAAGTGGTAGACAGGCACCTGGCGTTTTCCCCCAGGTATGCTTTCGGATAAAGTCACTGATACTTAAGGTCGCTATATTTTGTCTATGATGTTTTAAGGATCCTGATTTTGTTTTTAATTCAACACCAACCTTGTAATGGGTAGCTGTGTTTCAAATGGTTCACTAGTTGTATTAGATTGGTAGAGAATTTGTGGCTCTTGCTTATCTTGCCCAATTAATATTTGCAGGATGTATGGCATTGTGAGATCTGTAATCGGAAACCGGGTCGTGGCTTTGGTATGTTCTTTTTCTATTTTCCTTTGTGTTTTAAATGTAAATAATTTTCAGTGTGTAGTATATTCATGTCCTTCTTGTGTATGAGCCACTTGCTGTCCTTTTTCTCAATTCTCACACTTATTTTGTGTACTGCACTTTCAGAGGCCACTGTTGAGGTTCTTCCCCGGCTTTTCAAAATAAAATATGAAAGCGGCACTTTGGAAGAACTACTTTATGTTGATATGCCACACGAGTATCCTAACGCATCGGGTCAAATTGTCTTGGATTATGCAAAAGCAATACAAGAAAGCGTGTTTGAGCAACTTCGTGTTGTTCGTGATGGTCAACTGCGAATTGTCTTCTCACCTGAATTAAAGGTAAAATATGGATGTAACAGAATTCCAGATCCAACCACCTTTTCATGCCTTCTTGCTGACTCATTTTGGAATTTTCTCCTTCTCCAGATATGTTCTTGGGAGTTTTGCGCTCGGCGTCATGAAGAGCTTATTCCTAGAAGATTGCTTGTACCCCAGGTTACTAGCATAACTCTTGATTTAGTGCATTGCCACGTTTTAGATATTTATCTGATGAAGTGCAAGAAAAATGACTTAGTTTTTATCGTATCAGCCTTTTAAGTAACACCCCATTGCTTGTTGCATTAAGTGGTCCTACTTACATATTTTTTGGCCAATTTCTATTATACGTATATGTTACTCACATGTTATGACTTTATGTAAGTTGACTTTTTAGATTCCTCAATGGTAAACTTGCTCATTGTTTCCTTTCAATTCAGTTTTGGGTTCGTTTCTGTTCTTGAGGATAATCCATGGAGTCATAGGCATGTGTGTGATCATATAAGTGAGTCCATATGCACACTATCAATGGTGGAAGATTAATCAATTATTCTTGTCCATGTCTGTTGAGCTTTCCTGTTCATTGGAGTGTATGTTGCCATGCAACTCTAACTTAGGAAAAGTATAGTGACCCTCGTAGTTTTGTTGATGAAGTCCAAGAAACACATTTCTCAGACATTTCATGCAAGGGTTGTGGGGATATGAAGGATGTCAGTTTGTTTCTATTACGTATTTGATTGTGGTGAACTTTTGATGACATGTTATTCCTTTGGACTGTCTGAGGGATCCTGTTAATCATGTACCTGAACTTGCGTTATTACTGATCGCAGTACCGAAATGACAACGTGGAAGTTATCATGCTGTGTACTTCTGGTATAATTCAGTAAGAATGCGCCTTCTCATGAATGATTTACGGAGACTTTTGTTGACATTTACAGGTCAGTCAACTTGGTACAGCAGCGCAAAAATATCAAGCTGCCACTCAAAATACATCATCCAATTTGTCTGTTCAGGAGTTGCAGAATAATTGTAACATGTAAGTGATTTGTTGGTTTCTATCTTGTGTTGAGACAAAATATGTTTGTACAATAGTATTCCCTCCCGAAAAGGGAATATCCTGTTGACCTAGGATGTAAATAATATGTAAAAGCTGTTGGCAGTGATTGATCTGTTTTCACTTTCAGGTTTGTCTCATCGGCTCGCCAGCTTGCAAAAGCCTTGGAAGTGCCTTTGGTGAATGATTTGGGGTATACGAAGAGATATGTTCGCTGTCTTCAGGTAAATCTTATAATTTTCTCCTGTTTCAGCATTGCTCAAGATGTTGATGACATCCCTTTTGTTGACAAGCTTTCATGTTAGCTTACTTGTGCTGGTTTTGTGGTTTGTGGAATCTCCTCTGGCTATATGATACAGATTCTCTTGACACTATGATATTAGAAATTACTTTTTTATGTAGGGCTTCTTGAGTAGGATGATCTGAGGAACGTTTGTTATGAACTTTACTGTCATTTGATGTTTCATGTGGTATCTTTTTCTCTTGTTACTCCTTGTCCTTGAGTGTCTTAACTCCGTTGAACCACATTATGTTTTTCAACTTGGAGCGTCTATCTCAATGTTGTGTCTCTGACCTTTATTATTGGTTTGGTAGCAGTATGATGTCTGCCATCTCTGAACAGATTCAAGTGCTAACATTCAGTGTAGGTCAAAATTGAAGTACTTGCTTATTGTTTTTAATTGATCCGCAATCGGTAAATTCCGAATGCCTTAGAGTTTAGGTGATGTACACCACTACACCTGATCAAGAATTTAGGTTTGCACTTTTCACTGTCTGATCTTCTGTTTAGATGTGCATAACTAGCATCATTGTAAATAGAGTTTAATTTGCTGCATCTCTGAAACTTGTACCAAATGCTCTAATGTAGAGTACACCAGCTGTCAATTTGCTAAGACATATTCTTTAACTGTCTAGTTTCTTTGGTAGCTGAACCAAGTCATACTTACGTATCTTAGCTTCTTCTTTTTTTTGGGCTCTTGGTTGCAGATATCAGAGGTGGTTAACAGCATGAAAGATTTGATTGATTACAGCCGAGAAACAGGGACTGGACCTATGGGTAATGTTGATTGGTTTCCCCTTTCCCTACTTTATGATTTGGCTTCATTTGATTTAATCAAGAGCCACAAGTTGGTGCCTTTTGATCAAACAACCATCTTCTCCATCTATTTTATTCTTTTGTTTACAGAGAGTCTGGTCAAGTTCCCTCGAAGAACAAATGCTTCATCCGGGTTCAATGGTCAAGGTCAACCATCAGAGGACCAGCAGCAACAACAGCAAACTCCACCAGCACCACCGTCGCATCAGCAGCAGGCAGTTCCCCAAAACTCAAACAGTGACCCGAGCTCTGTCCAAGCAGGGGCAATGCAAATTGCTTCTAGCAACGGTATGCAGCCCGTAAATAATGCCCTCAATCCCTCACCGGCAACAACCACCTCAGCAAGCACCATCGTCGGACTTCTCCATCAGAACTCCATGAACTCAAGACAACAACCACAAAGCTCCATCAATAATAATGCAAGCAGCCCATACAACTCAGCTCAGGCCCCTTCTCCTGGTTCGTCCACTACAGTGCCAGCTCAGCAGCCACCTAATCCTTCTCCTTTCCAGTCACCCACTCCTTCGTCATCCAGCGCTCCACAACTTGGACATAGTGCTCCAGCAAACAATATTCCACAGCAGCAACAGCAGCCGGCTCTTTCTAGCGACGGCGACCATGGGGATTCCCAGAGTTCTGTCCAGAAGATCATTCACGATATTATGATGAATAATCAAATGAACGATGTGAAGAATGTCAACCCCACCACCAATGGCATTCTGCAGGCAAACAACAACAACGGCGGTGGCATGATCAACGGCATGCATAACATGGGTGGTGGTGGATTTGGGTCGATGGGTGGTGGGGGTGGAGTTGGAGGCCAGCCTGTTGCCATGGCGAATGGGATGAGAGCTGCTGCGATGGTGGGTGGCGGTGGTAGTAACAATAACAGCTCGTTGATGATGAATGGAAGGATGGCGATGGCATCGATGGTGAGAGAGCAAGCGATGAACCACCACCACCACCACCATCATAATCATCATCAACAACAACAGCAGGATTTGGGGAACCAGTTGCTTAGCGGGTTAGGAGCGGTTAATGGGTTCAATAATCTGCAGTTTGATTGGAAACCGTCTCCTTGAAAATACACAACAAACTGTTTGTATTTCTTGCAAGTGATGATGGTGCTGTGACGCAGAGCGTGGCTGTCGTGTTGATTGTATGATCTGCTGCTGCTTGTGCTGGACACAGTGCAGAGCACCGAGTGTTGGGCGAAAATTTGATGTGTCCCCTGAGAAGAGAGAGCGAGAGAGCAACAAAGGCTGGGAATACTACGTGGGATGAAAAGGGTGGGTGAGATTTTTCTTCTTAAGTTTTTTTCTTTACCCCAGGGGGCGTTCACTCACTGTGTACTAATTTCCAGAGAAAAGAGTGAAGCATATAGCATAGGTTTTTTCCGCCAATCATCAATGAAATGTTTAATCCTCTTGTATTCGGTTTGATGTCCGTTTCATCATTCTTCTTTGTGACCGGGAGCGCATATGGTGGCTACTAGCACTCCAAATGAGCTAACTTGTTCACGGGTGGGTCAAAGTTCAATTCTGGATAAGGCTCGACACTCAATTTGTTTACTAACAAGTCAAAACATTATTAGGCTAGCAAGGGTTGTGAGCCAATTTAGATGGGTGGCTTGTTGAACTCATCATACGAGTTAACCTTATTTTGAATTACGAGCTGACTTGATAGATAGTATGATTAGTAAGTCCTCTCAAAGATGACACTTCTTTTTTTATTTGATTTCTGGATGAGATGACAAAAAAGAAATTTATTGGTGGAACAAATGTTAAAAAGAAAAGGTCAGAAGTTTAAATCTCATCGATGAAAGATTTTCTCTTCTCTTTTCGAGATTTAAAATTTTCGAAGAAACATTCTCAAATAAGAAAAACATGATCCTTCCTTCGGAATCATTGGATTTTTAGAATCCAAAGTCCCAACTCCCGAATGAGCTCTCCTCATCAAATGCTGACTTTCCACTACTTCCAAGTATTTTGTGCTCTAAAAATTGAGGCTAAAGCAGGAGCATTCCAAATACATAGAGATGCTTGTTTATACACATGTGGCTTAGACCATCATCATGTTTGGAGAACAAAGTGGTGGAATTTGCAAAAAAAGACATTGGGGAGGAAATGATGTTCTTTCTTTCTTCTTTTCAACCATCAATGTACTTCTCTAGAGTACTACACAAAGTGGACTTAGGGACAGCACCAATGATGCTCTCTTTCCTCTCACCCTTGTTGTAGAAGAGCACAGTTGGGATGCTCCTGATCCCACACTGGCTAGCAATGTTGGGGCACTCGTCGGTGTTCACCTTGTAGCAGGACAGCTTCCCGGCGTACTCCTTCGCCAGCTCGTCGATCACCGGAGCTATCATCCGGCACGGTCCGCACCACGGCGCCCAGAACTCCACCAGCACTGGGTTCTCACATCCTATCACCAGCTTCTCCCATGTCTGCTCTGTCACTGGTTGAACTGCACAAAAGTAACCATTATGCAAAAACCTTCAGCAGTCCACTTTCTTATGGAACCTAAAGAATGTGCATATCTCTGTCATAATTGTTGGAAGATGTCTATAGAGGGGTTTTCCACCACTTTCTTATATGCCCCTCAAACGAAAGCCAACTCATGAACTTCAAATTTGCACAAATCTCCCTCATACCATTACCATGTGCTCTAACACAGTCGTTGATATTGGAAATCGTAAGAACTTGAACATGTAACCACAAAATATAAACCAGATCTAATGCTATATCAAGAACCAATTAGTCCGAATAGCTGATAAAATTCTGAATTTTAACCACTTCCTTGACCACTACTGAACTTTAACTAATTGAACTACATAACTGTCATTATTTCATCCATATCTCCCGTCCAAATTGTCATTATTACTATACCAAACAACCAAATTAACATAACTAGACTTGTTAGCCCCCTATTCGAAATCCAAATAACATTTACTACTCGAGACCTTATTCCAAACTCTACATTATTACCGCAGACCATGTTAACAAATGTTGAGGTAGAGAGGCGGAAAAGAACCTTGGTCAAGAGCTTCTTGAGCTTTGCAAACGAAGTGGGATCTCCTTGCTTTGGAAGATGGTAAAAGGGTGACTGATGGGTTGTTGAAATCTCTTCTGGTGTAGGAAGATGACGGCGGGAAGTTGAGCTTGTCCGGTGAAGCAAATGAATGGGCAGTGGTGCAGTGAGCAGAGATTCCAACCTTGCAGGAACTGCTGGTTACTTGAAAGCAATTTGTCATAGCCATAGTATGAATGGAAATGCTTCTTCTCTGCAACCACCAGTCCTAGTATTTTTCTTTTGCTCCTGTTGTTTCTGCTTGGCTGACTTGTTTTGTTGGGTTATCTCTTTGGGGGTTGGGGGTGTATTTCTGATCTCTAATGTTCACATCTACTCAATTGTGGGGAGTGGATATAATTTCAGAGGGGTTTGTGAGGTGCTGGTTGGATGCCTATTTTTTTTTCCTTTCCTTTCCATTTTCTTTTCTAATGGAGAACTATAATTTAATTCAGAAGAAATATCTGCATAAAGGGTGGGCCTGGGATGGCAAAGTGGTTAGTTGTTGCTTCATGGATCACCAATTCATGAATCCAACCCATTTTTCAACCCTAGTTTTTTGGTTGAACCACAATTTCACTACGTAAATACAACTCTAACAAAAATAGTAAATAAATTGACCGTTGAATCTCTCTATGCCAAATCTTTTTAATGTAAGTATAAAATTTGAAACGGAATAATGACAAATTTAATCATCCCCTAATAGTTGGATTTAAATTTCATCCAAAACTTACTATAAACTCATCCAATTCGATTTCGATGAATATGAATACTCTTGTCATCCCTGCCATGCATGCATTAAGCCTCTCAAAGTCCTAACTCCCAAGTGTTCAAATAGCTTCTTCCGAGCAGTCATTATTATTGATCACCTCTTCAACTTTCACTAGACAATCTCTGTCCATCTCACCTCTTTCCACCTTCTCCATATGATCATAAAGAACGGCAAGACATTCCCTCACCATGTCCGCCTCCTCGTGCCACTCATCTCCCATAAAGAACTGTGCAATTCGATCATCAATCTCAATCCAGCTACACCCAGGATTACTCTTCCTCAACCCCAGCTCCTTCATCCTCAACCTCACCCTCCCAACCTCCTTCCACTTCCTCGACGACGCGTACATGTTCGACAACGCGACATAAATCGATGGATCACTCGAACCCTTCTCGACAATCACATTCCCAATTCTTTCCCCCAGCTCAAATTCCTTGTGCAAGCAGCAAGCTGATAACAGCGTGCTTAACAGCTCAACGTCTTCTCTAATCTCTGCATTCGTTTCCAGGACATTGTAAGCTTCCTGAAGCCTACCAGATCGCCCCAAAAGGTCGATCAAGCACGAGTAATGTTCGTACCTTGGCTGTATTTTGTATTCATCGATCATCCGTCCGAAATAGTAGCAACCTTCGTCGACTAATCCTGCATGGCTGCAGGCTGATAAGACTGCAAGGAGAGTGACTCCATCTGGCTTTACGCTCGACTGCAGCATCTCGTCGAACAGCTCCAAGGCATCTTTTGCCTGGCCGTGAGAGCCATATGCAGTGATCATAGACGTCCAAGAGACGAGATCCCTGATTGGGAGCTTCAGAAATACGGAGAGGGCTTCGTTCATCGCTCCACATTTTGCGTACATGTCTAGCAGAGCTCCCATGACCACTTCATTGCTCTCTAGTCCGTTATCAGAGATCGAGATGTGGATTGCCTTGCCTTGTTCCAGAGCTGCTAGTTGCGAGCAAGCTGATAGAACGCTGGAGAATGTCATGGCATCTGGGTTTACACCTGCTGCTTTCATTTGATTGTAGATTCCAAGTGCCTCGAAGAGCTTACCTACTGTGGTTAATCCTGAAATCATTACGTTCCACAAAACTGTGTCTGGTTTGGGAATCGTTCTGAACACGGATTCAGCTGTCTGAGGTTTCCCGCATTTGAAGTATAGATCGATAAGGGTACTGTTGATGAACTGATCAGGGGCGATTCTGTTTCGGAGGATGTGCCCATGGAGAAATGCTCCAGGTTGGAGTTGTCCTGATCGTGAACATGCCAGAAATATGGTACTTATTGTTGTTGAAGTTGGTCTAATGCCTTCAAGAATCATCCTACTGAGCAGTTTCATGCATTGATTGCAGTCTCCGGTAGAACCGTATGCTGAAATCAAAGAATTCCAAGCAACTACGGTTTTCTTAGGCATTTGGTGAAACGCGTCTTCAGCCATCTCCAAGCAACCACATTTCCCGTACATGTCCACAAGAGCAGAGCTCATGAAATCATCCAGCTCGAAGCCAGTTCTCGTGAGCTCCGAGTGGATCTCTTTCCCCTTTTCAATATCCAAAAGTCTCGCACACGCAGCAATGGCAGTCGTCAATGTGACAGAGTTGGGCTGAAATCCGAATTCCTTCATTCTTCCAAACAAGTCCAACGCCTTATCGTATTTCCCACTCTGATAATAACAAGATATGACAGTGTTCCAACTTGCCACATCTCTGTCAGACATTTCATCGAACAGCTGAACTGCGTGATCGAAGTAGCCGCATTTGGCATACAACCCAACTAAAGAACTAGATATCACAACATCGAAAACATACCCAGATTTCACGAAATGCCCATGCATCGATCTGCCGCAGCGAATCCATTCCAGTGCGCCGCATGCCTTCAGCACACTCGGGTAAGTGAAACAATCAGGCTTCAGGGAAGGGTAGCGCAGCAGAGTTTCAAAGACCTTCAGAGCTTCAAAGTGGGCGCGATTTTTTGTGTAAGAAGCCAGGAGGGCGTTCCACAATGAGATGTCCGATGGGTTTCCGATCCTTCGGAAGACGAGTTCAGCAGAGTCATGACAGCGGCAAGAGGAGTAGACATTGATGAGGTTCTTGCACAGGGTGATCTCGGTCTGCAAGCCCAAAGTTACGATCTTTTGGTGAATGACTCTAGCTTGGAGGAGTGATTTTGAAGCGTTGCATTGTTTCAACAGAGAGATCAAGTGTGGGATGCTCATTCATAGAAACGATGGGGTGGCTCTTGAGGACAAGAGCGGGGAAAGAGCTCTAGAATTGGAATTGAAAGTGGAGGAGGGAGATGGCGCCGAGCTGGACTCGGGAGCCCGAGGCAGCTTATGCGGTTGTACCATATTGATCTTCAGCATTTTAATACGTAAGCCCAACTAGGCGAGAAACTGAACCCTACCGTCCTAGCAATGTGTAAAGGAAGGTTGTCAAACCTGTACTTAATACCGTTATCCCGATTTAGCAAGTGGTATTGTCCAACGGAGGTACAATTGGTTTATATGCCTGTTCATATCGGTTTTAACAAAAGATACAAAGCAGGCAATCGAATCACTTATCGTCCAGAGACGAACAACAGATATATTAACAGACATGACTCCAGTCCACCAAAAGCTTCTGAACGAGCTTTATACGACAGAATACGAACACAAACAGGGTTGCCCAATACAAATTCACATTTGCCATTGCAGCCCAGGCAGGAAAACTAGAGTTCACAGAACAAACTCCAGCCTTGCGCCACACAGACAGCTGCCAAATTTTCCATCGTTGGTTTTGAACATGAATACAAATTGCAGTGACATGACACCAACAGAAGAACCATGGGTTAAGAAGCCCTTCATTTTTTGAGTTGACTGCCTAGTTGTTTCTTTCTCCCAATTATACTAGGATTGGAAGACGAAGAATCAATACATGGCAAGCTTAGGAGTAGCCCCATTCATAACCGGAGCTGTAACCCCCCTGGTTTCTTTCACGTAGGAGACGTAGTCGCTGTACGTCATGGTGAAAAGCGTGCTCTGGTAACGCGTCAGTTTAATGGACTTTCGAAGTGATTCAGTGATGACGCCATTGTAGCCAGCTTTGCGCATAAGCGACTCGATTGCTTCCAATTTCGTCCAACCTGAAACCAACCCACGGTGCAAGATAACGTTACTTCCAACAAGCCTTGCAGCAGATTCTTAGGAACTTAATCACACATAATGAAGTAGAAAGAAAGTTTCGAGTGAGGAAGAAATGAAATCCACTCCCCGATCCCAATAATTTTCCTTCATCGAACAGATAGTTGTTTTGACAAATGCGTAATCCTAATATATCCGCAAGTTGTCTACTGGTTTATAGTGAACAATTTATTAACTTCTGATGGAAAGAAAAGCAAAAGAAGCAGGAACCTGCGATCACACAGATAATCTTTACCTTCATGGGCAGCGACTTCAGGCAAATATGTGGCACTCCGCCTTGTATGGTTGTTAGGGTCGGTAAATTCAATAATCATACCATGTACCCCAACCTGCAATCACGGTCATTTGAAGAACTTGTTAGTTTCTTTCCAAAAGGTGATCAGATGCTGTTGAACTGCAACACTTTAAACCATCAACATATTAGGAAATTTCATTAAAAAAAACTGTTACACAATTGACAAATTTGATTGCCACATGCAACTCAAACTTTTGACCAGGATTAGTAGTCCAAGGATCGAACAAGATACATGCATTCAGAATTGATATGTAAGACTTGATTATTTGTGAGTTACGATAATTTCATTCTCTTAAGAGGACAAAAAGGTAACTTTCCTGGGTAGACTCAAGAAATTTTTAAAAGCTTAAAGAGAGGGCCTTTTGATAGAAATTTAAAACAAGGCCACCATACAGTTATAACTTATAAGGGTTTAACAAAAACATATCCAAAGGGCTCTAAATATTTTTTGGACTACACTTCAATTTTCAACTCTTAGGACTTAGGGTACTAAACTATTTAATATCATAAACTGCCTTTTGCATTTAGGGTATGAAGTAGCTGCAACATTGACTTGAAAATGCATGCTTAGCTCAAACGTTACATTCACTGCCCTAAGTTTTGGACCCTGAAGACAGTTGCCAAAAAAAGCAAAGACCTTAAAAATGGTGATACAGGAGATCGGGGTATAATGGCCGGTAACTAGAGAAGGGAATGATTGCAAATTTGCAATCTCAGTATTCCAAGTGAAATGAGTTGAAATAACATACCTCCCAGTCAAGATAGTTGTTAGCAGTCTCATAATTAGTTAGAATAGACACTGTACATTCTAGAGAAGGCAGCTCCTTGGCCTGTATAGGAGGAAACCTCCGGTCCCTCAAAGCACTGTGTCAACATAAATAATGGTAAGAAGCATATAGAGGCAGGGATGGCGTCAAATATCAAGTGAGAGATCGTCCAGAAACAATGAAATCAGGCACTTGGAACGAATAGTTTCAGAAGTGATCCAGATTAAACAGTCACAAGATTAATTAACTATGCATGAAGCGCAATGCAATTTCTAAATGCAACTTTGTAAGCATCCTAAACGCACTGATATGCAATGCAGAGAAGAATATTGAGTAGTAAAGAACTTCATCTATTTCTCACAAATAAATCAGTGGAAGGAATTACTTTGAGCCAACTAAAAAGGTATAGAGAAATATGTTATGAGAACGAAACCTCGTCTTCAAGTTAATACAGCAACCAAAACATTCTAGACATAGTCCTGATGGTCGAATGCACCAACAAGCCCCCTAATAGTTTGTACAGTTTCACTAGGGGATTTGGTGCAAATAGAAAAGTATGTTTTACTCTATATAAATCAATTTCAACTGCATTTATAAATCCAGTTCATTGCTAATGGTTCCGCATGTTAAAGTTCCCTCTTCTGTTATAAGTAAGTTACAAGAAAATAAAATAAAAAATGTTTCCTGCATTAGTAACACATTATCATCAATACCTGGTTAAAGCATAGTCCTTGAATCCATTAATCAAACCTCTAGCTTCCAAAGTCCCAATGCATCCACGTAGACGAGGCTCACCACCACTGACCACTTTCTTCCAAGTGACAAACAATGGACTGGGGAGGAAAAAATGGAAGTATTCATTCTACCATGTCATTCTACCCGACTCAGAGCAAAGATAGAAGTATTCATTGTGGGATAAACCAAAAAAAAAAAAATTGAAAAACTTTAGTTGCATTCCGAATGAGAATCTTATTGCAAAGTCGACTCGGTCAATATTACGTCATTACTATTAAAAGAAACAGTTGAGCAAACAAAATCCAGTAGTGACCAGAATGATAAAGGAAATATTATGCTAGAAAGGATAAAGAAACGAAACCACAAAACTCGAAACCTTGCTTAAACCTAAAGAAGCTATCATGACAACTACCAGTGGAATCATCCATAATTATGCATATGACTAGCAAGCAGACAAGTTTCCTTTGAAAAGCATGGATGTGAGTCCAACTAAAGGCTTCCTAGCATTGTCTTGACCTCGTTTCATGAGAACAATGCTGAGTAAGGTTTCGTGAGTACTCCTTATAAATTCATGTATTAATGAAGAACCAGCTTCAAAGTGAGATCTTTACTTCTATGTTTAACCAAAATGTCTCAGCCACATTTATTTTAATAAAGCTGCCTATGGACAAAAAAAAAAAAAAAAAGAATAATCAACAATAAGACAATTTAAGACCCGTTTAGGCTCATTCCAGACATTGTTCATTATGGCTAAGTGGAAACGAACTATCAAGTATAGACATTTTACCGAACAGAAAAGAAAAAGAAGCTGAAAACAGAGAGAAAAAATGTTTATCAATAGCTATCAACTTAAACTAATCTTGATTTTATTCCAGGCCTCCAAACACACAAATTCTTTTAATAACTTAGGCAAATTAGTGCAGAGCGAAACTAGAATAAACAACTTAAGTTTACCCTTCATTACTATGGGTCATATAAAAAGTAAGATGAAAAAGGCATAAAAACCAAGATAGATTTTTTGGCCATCCCCGGTAACATTGGCCACGGCTTACAGGTCATGATTCTTCCTATTCTAGCAAGCATTACTGATGGTGATTTATAGGAAAGTTGGACGCAATGGTGAACGATGTAGTTCAAAGTAGGTAAAGAATAATAGCAACCACCAACTCAAGCATCCCATCCAAGGTTCATATCGTGCAAGCATATTTATTGTAAGTATAGAGTTGCTGCGTGACAAATTGTGCCTGACAAATCATTGTAAAGTGATTGAAGTGCCAGTACACGAAAATATGATATATGTTTCATATAGTTACCAAAATGAACAATGACAGGTTGTTACGAGTAATTCAGTATCACCATCCAATTACTTAGCACCATAAAAATAGAAAGGACCGTAAGAATGGCAAGGGATAAGCTGCAGTCCCCAAAACATGTCACCACCTATAGTCTAATCCAGCCCAACAATTTCCCAGATGATGGGTCGAACAGAAGTTTGAAGACTACTGACACTGAAATATCCGGAGTTGCTAGTTGAAGTGAAATTTGCAGAACTACATATTAGTTGAAATAATCCCTACAATAGATCACTTAGAATGCTATAAACACAAAGATTATTTCAATCTTCTAGAAGTTGCAACGGCCAGGTCTTTTAGTAACAAACACAGAACAGCGTAACTTGGTATACAATTGACGACAAAATCATACTCTCAATTTGAACAAAAAAGGGACTGTTTCATTAATAATTAGCAGAGGATCACAAAAGAGCATAAATCTTGGTCTACAGTAACTTGCAGCTTTGTCTATAACTAATCATGGTGATAAAGTGACCCTAGTGAAGTTCCACGACACTTCAACACCAAGGAAGCTTCAGCCACCTTGTAGAGAGTATCTTAAATTAAGCTACGGAGAAAACAAGCAATTAGTAGCTAAAACCATGAAATCAATAACTGAACAATCCTTAAAAGAAAGTCTCCATAGGAAAGTTAGGCCAAAGACAATGATAAAGAAAATGGGCTTCCTTAACCCCAATGAATCAAATGACCCCCGACATGACAAATCAATGTATGTTAAGAGGGAAAGGAGAGGAGAAAAGGGTTTACTGTTGGCCCTCGTCAAAGGCAGGAGGTGGGGCTTCCTTGTTGTTATAGTGAGCAACGAGCGTGTCAAAGCAATACACAGCCATTTCTCTATTTGCAGAAACCATCGTTCCTTTTTCAACTGGGAGAAATGGCCAGCCCTCAGATGCACTACACACAAAATTTAGCAATCAGGACACATCGCACCCCAGAAAGTTAAGAGCATTCGTTTGATCAACTTTTGCAAAAAGTTTTCAGATATATAGATTGACAAAGAATGGATCGCGCAAGAATTCTATTTGGTCAGAGGAGTTTAAGTATCGTCCGTTTTTTTCTGTTTAGGCTCACGTTTAATATGGGGCTTGAAACTCTTGCATGGTGCATCTAACCAACAATGATTCCAGAGTCAGCCCATCGACAAAGCCGAAACCAGAAACGCACAAAGAGTGTTCGTTACTGCGCTTCCTGTTTCTTTGATTGATTGCCCACAAAGACTCAAACAGGATTCATGTTAGTTGCACTTTGAGGTTTGATCGGGTTTCTCGCGGCCGAACTATTTGATCGGTGTGACACCGACTACCGACCAACAAGTGGCGGCACACACAAATACCCACCCAACCCAGCTGATAATTATTAAGAAAGCACAGAGACTAAGCATTTCGTCGAGCAGTTAAAATGCATGACGATTATCCTCTTTTTTTTTTTTTTTTTTTTAAAAAAGGTTGATTCAAAGATGAGGGCCTAACCTTGGGAAGGAACACCCGAGAAGCCAAACTCGCCGGCGATTATGCAATACTTGGAACCTGGTTTATTTGAAGACGAAGAGAACTGCGATCAGACCAAATTATGTCCAAAATTATATACAAATTAAAGCTTAAGAATCAAGCGGCCCGCTCGAAATAGAAGCTTTCGACTATATGAGGTGGGTAGCGGAATTCATTGGCCCAAAGGTTCCGATGACGATGAAATTGGAAAAAAAAAAGTACAGAGATCGGTCGGAGGGATGGAGGTCTTCCCTTCTTATCACTTACCTTTGTCGTCGGAGGGGAAAAGGAAAAGAATGGGAGTAGGATAGTCTGCTCCCGCGAGATGTCGGTGTTGATAATATTAACAAGTAGAGCAAGCAAAGCAATCAGCACGGCGAAAGAGAAAGGAGGAAAAAAGAAAAATACAACAGAATAGCTGCTAAACGGTGGGTGGGTAGGGACCACAAACAAAGGGTTGCTTTGCTTTGCTTGTCAATGGAATTTTCGCTTTTTCATACCTCGAACTTTACAAGTATGGTTGTTTCGTTCACAAATTTTGAACACTTCTCTCTCCCAATCCTCAAATTTCCGAAAGGTATTTTAATGTTTGGATCATACGCTCGAAAGAGATACCGAAACCGATCACTCCACATGACAACAATACGATAAATATCAATAATCTAACGACATTTTGTACTATAACATGAAATATTACTTCGTAGCGATTAAATAATAGGAGAATTATTTGCAAGGAACTTGGAGCTAAAACTCCTCTCAATAGTCACATCACACATGTACGAAAATCTCGTTGTAGGTACTAGGTAGGAAGAGGTTCATGAAGCCTTAAATCAATGAAGAAGTGGCCTCTTTATGATTTCAAAACACACGCGACACCCATTAGAGGACATACAAAAACACCTGTCGAATTATCAACAATAAGAACTCGAAATAGTACGGTTCGCAATGTGAAGGTACATATCTTATGCAAAATAAGAACAATTCGAAAGAGTCGTTGACTAAACTATAATTCAAAAAACTTAAAGCAAGTCATCAAATCAACCTTTCCAACCATGGAAACAAGCACAGTGAATTTGCCTGTGGAGGAAGAAAGCATTTGTCAAACCATTTGTAGAGCACCAAACTGCAACAAGCACCAGATATGTTCTTTTCTTTCTACATCTATTCATCAATCTGTACAGCAAACAAGGCATTCTCAGATAATATCATCACCAAACCAGTAACAGGAGGACTGCACTTCAGTGGAAGTAGCAAGCATAGTATCAAGCTACAAAGCCCCTTCGTGAGTAGCAAGCATAGTATCAAGCTAGTTTCAAGATGGTTGTTCCTCATTGTCCAAGTCAGCCTTGCATATCTTCCCACAACTCTGAACAGAACTTTGGCATCAGATTGGCTTAGTCAAAGAAATACAAAACCTCGCACATTAACACTTTGCTATCAGAAACCAGTAATCAATATCACCTGGAATCCAAAAGTAAACAAGACCGAAATCAGAAGCAATTTTTGCCAAAAGATTATGAAGCCAATAATACAAAAACAATCACGTTGCCAAAGAGCTGGGAGTATGAGAACATAAGCACTAGCCGCCGCCCACCACACCCCACAAAGCTTTTCTATCCCCTCTTAGCGAACATCAAAGTCACAATAGAGACTACTGAACACCACTAACTTATGATTCCGACCGCTTGGCTACAGAAGATACAACACAGCATTTCAAAAGAAGAACAAGAGATACCATACAAGAAAAAAGAGTGAGTTTTTCAGTGGAAGCAACAATATTTGAACACATTCGGAATATTGGTCTTGACAATGGAAAGCAGCAAAACCTGCACCAAACTAAACTAAAGGCTTGAAGACAATGACAGAGGTCATCACTGGGGATGATATAAACACATAGGTTTTTGGGCGAAGCAACTAAATATACACCGTCTCCCAACATTTTTTTTAGTTGTGAAGATTGAGAACATACAGATTTTAAACTAGCAATATTCTTGTCCAAAACACTACACAAAGGACCATCAGGAGCAAGCAACTAGTTGACTTAAATTAGGAATTGATGAGTTGTCTGAAAGTATCACCAGGGTCTGGAGACATACATGTGAATAGAACCAGATCCAGTCAGCCAATAATGAATGGGCCAATATCTCCAGTTCTCAGGGAGTGGGCAACCTCGTCAGCGACGGTCAAGCAAGATGAGACCCATCCAAAAAGCGCCAACCAAACAATCCGGAGCACAAACAGAGTTGAACTCCACTGCATTGCCATTTTTTAATCTTCTCCTCTAATGAACCTCTCTGCTATTTCTTTACTCTGGTTTGTCACCTTTTAACCCTTACTCACAGATTTCAAAGTTTTTCAACAAAACAATGCTCATTAGCGAGTTAGTCCCACCGACAGCAAGAAATTGTGGCAAGGGGTAGCTCACAATTTCCGTCCGCTTCTTCTCCAGCAGAACAAATTAATCCTGTATGAAAAAAATATAGATATGTAGACCATTAGAAGGTAGAAAAGTTGGCCACAATATCTTTTGCAACAAAAAAGATAAGCACTTGTGTATTACAATAGAAAGGGTGATCAAATGTGACGTATAAGCCAGTTGAAAGCTGAAGCCTGCCAATTTCACCTGCAATGGGAGAACCATAATGGCCATTAACAAAGTACATTCTCTTCAAGTGCCAAAAAGAAGACAATCAAAGTCCCGATACCTTGTTTACTAGACACTACACAACACCCGCAATCATATATCTAAAACCCATTGATATTTACGAGAGATGCACAAAAGAAACAAAAAAACTAGACAAGCATATTACTAACTGCAAGCTAATTCAGTCAACTTTCAGTAGCCTACAGTCTACACAGAAGTGATCCAGAACATATAAGAACAGCAAGCGTTCAATCAAATGAATGATCAGGGGGGAAGTAAAAGTTTAAACCTAACCGAATTTGCTAGCAGCTTTACCCTAGTCAGTACATCGGGTCAAGTGTCGATCTAAAGAATCATGTCACAGGAAGAACTAAGCCTAAACTTTAGACAACTGTTTGTTCTTCTTCTGTCTAATTGAACCATTATACGTTGCTTCTTATAGCAGGATCGGTACTGCTGCACTCTAACAAATCTTCTATCGGGGATAAGACCAATCCACTCACTCCACCCAAATAACAAGCATGGATATTGCATATACGTTATCGAGATCCAACAGACGGCGCTGTCAGTCTATACTAACCACTTCCACGAGCAATTTCAATGCAGAAAAATTTAGGATTGATTGGAAACTTCTGCCAACGAAAGAGAGCACGCAACGAATTCATAATCCATCAAGAAAACAGCGATAGCGAGCGAGAGGGAGAACTGAATTGGAAGAAATTAGAGGTGCTTGAGATCACGATTTTACGAGGTTAAGAATCTCTTACCGCCGGCAGGAGGAGGATGGAGAAGGAGAAGAAGAGCTGTGCGGCGGAGGTGAAACCGTCAGCTGAAGAAGAAGGATCGAGCTGGATAGAGACGCAGCGGGAAGGAAGAGCTCAGCTTCTCCGGTGGCTATATGAGAGAAAAGGGGAACTCACTCTTGCCACCTGTTTCCTATACTGCCCAAATGCCGTTTTTTCTTCTTTTTCCCAACAAAGCAGTGAACGAGGTTAAATACTAAAAAATAAATACCTTATTTCTCCCTTTGAACGATTCTTTCTTTCAGCACTTGTACTATGCATAATTAACAAATGAGTACCGATTAGTTTTACTGATCACATTCAAGTCCAGAAACCATGGTCCATGAAACCGTACCGAAGACCGTACCGGAAAAGTCAGTTGTAGGGTATTTTATGGTAAAACCGTGGTTTTATCGTAGTTCAACCGTTGTACCGTTAAATACCGCCTACCGGTTTAGCATCCGATACTGGTATTTCGTGGTTGAACCGCCGGTATGGTTTCATGGACCATGCCAGAAACATTGCCTGTTCTGGGAAATTCATGCCAACACTATAATCTGTACGTAGTACAATGAATTTGAGATCCACCCATTGATCGAACCATAACCAGGCAGAAGATGAATGCCATCACCGTTACATAACGCCATAGGCTGAGGATCAACCAAAATTTCATAAACTTGAAGATGATGTAGAGCTTAAACCAGATTGTACAATTTCAGACACACGTTAAACATCCACCCTCAGTGGTAACAGACATAATACTTAATAGGTATGGCTAATACACATGCAGACTGTACTTGCTCACTCCTATCATATACGAAGTTGCCTCTCGGATTACAAAAAGGAAAACATACTTCCCGACTAATACAAATTCAAAACGAGTAGTCTTTCAAATCAGCTCTAGAGTCGCCCAAGTCCACATCAGCAGCAGAGCACTCGTCCGCTGTGAGTGGCGGCAGATTACGTGTCTTCCGCTTCAAGTTATGCTTGTGCCAGTCGCTCTTGAAGTGTTCCCTGTACTCCTTAGCATCCCCAACAACTGCATTGCATGTGCTGCACTGGTTCTGCTTTGCCTCGACCGCAACTTTCTTGGGTGCTGTGGAGGAGATGGTCTGTTTCTGAACTTTTTCAGAGAGTTGAGCAATGGGGTCGGTAGAGTCCTTGGTGGGGAGGGATGGTTGCAGGTCTACATGGTCGGCAATGTCGTCCACATGTGTGTCCCCCTCGAAATGAACGGACACCGCCAGAATTTCCATTCTGCCTTGAAGATTCCTGACCAAGATGTCACAGTCTCGGAAGAAACCTGGCTCGATTTCACAGACCTGGGCCATATTTGATGAAAAGAGAGAAAATCACATAACCATCTCCAAGAAAATACCATTGTTGCGAAGTCCATAACGAAAAAATGGATCCCACATGCAGCAAATATCAGTAGCCCATAGAACCGAAGTGACAAACAATGACATAAATTAAATAGATGTGCTCATTCTTGTCTCTTAATTTGAGGGTTATAGGCAAAAGTACACTGAAGCATGTTGGGGCAAAATTATTACAAATCTCAACCTTACTCCAAGAGCTGATGTAGGTTCCTAATCCTCTTTCCTGTTCTGCTGTCAAACAGAAAACTGCTCAACGTGATCCCACATTCACAGTTTTCCAATTTAGTTAGTCTCTTTTTTTTTTTTTGTTAAAAATTAGTTAGTCTCATTCTCTTATCCACCCTCAGATAAGGAAATTATGGTTGCAAATGAAACAGACTATCATCCAATCCAACAAAGTACAAAACTCAATATGAAATACAAAAGTTCAGCCCAGAACTTGTAGTGGAATTACTGGGAACACCAATTATAATCACTCCAACTGTACCTCATTGTTCAAAACAAAGGTCTTACTCAGACTAGATGCTTAAGGGACCTAATGTATATACACACCAAAAAAGATATGACAAAGAGGACAGAGAAGCAAACCCAATAAAACTGTGACCCTTCCCCTTAAGAGGTAGGCGTAACTGAAAGCTTAAAGTAGGTGCGGAATGAGTATAACTGATCAACAGTTCACCATATAGAGAGACTTACAAAAGACAGCTGACTTCCAGAAGTATCTCTTGCAGTGATGGTAGCTTCCCAGGCATTCAGCTTTTCAACAAGTGATGAAGAAGTGTTTTCAGGAACGGTAAGGCGTATTCTCATTGGCGCTCTTTTGATGGGGAATTGCTTTTGAAGCTCACGAATAACTTCCAGTGCCTACACAAGACATCCAATTACACAGAGGTTATAGAACCTTTTGACATATGCTTAAATTAACTCATTCAAACAGGAGTGCCATAGACAGCGAGAAAACAGATCGAGCAAATATGGAATTCCAATTACTTTGCAATCACCACTAAATGAAAACGTAACTTGCGCCATTTTCCCCATTAGCATCAACCAAAAGAAAAATTGCATTGCTTCTTATTGCATAAACCATGCAAGACAAGCCATAGAGTTCTATAGTAGCGAAAGCAAATGATCAAACCTGCTTCTTCGAACTGCTATGTGGATCGACGGCAAAGTGGGTTTCATGCATCAATCGCTCAATCATACTGATAGTGTAAGGTCGCTGAGTTTCGGGATTTATCGTCTTCTGCATCACAATCGTTGCAATATCCCGAAACTGACTAGACAATTGTGATTCTCTCTCCTTCCCTGCAACTTGAAGCTCCCCTTTGTTCAGAATCTACAGCCACCAAATTGAACAAAAATGGAGTCTCTCATCAACGCACGATGCTAAAATTATACAAACCAAACTGGGGAAACGCAGCAGTTGCTCACCTCCAGGCAGATTTTGGACTGGTCATCCGTCCCAAACGCAGCGATCAATTCTTTGGACTTGGCAAGAACTCCCTTGGAAACGTTAGAATAAACCGTCTGCGACTGCAATACTTCATCCAAATCTTTCTCTCTATTACAAAACAATCACCACGAATTGACAAGACCGTCACAACTCACAACAAAAACGAGAGGGAGAAAGCACAGAGAGAAAGTCGGGAAAGCAATCAAACTACTCACACGCCAGATCGCCATGAAAGCACCTTGTTCGGGTAGCAAGCAATCTCGAAACGATTCCCGTGCTTCTTCAAGCGAACCACCGCCACATTCGTCAGCCTCTTCTGCCCTATCGGCTGCAGCAGCTTCTTCGACATCTCTCAGTCACCGTTCTCTTCCTCACGCCGCCGTGCGAACAGAAGAAATACCGATGGGGAAACAGCTTCTAATGCGCAGCTTCTCGAAAATATTCTTTATGCTCTTCTTCTTTTTGGCAGAGGTAGAATTAGAAAGTGAGCCCAATTTATATTTGGGCTAGGTTTAAATGGCCCATAAGGCGATGGCCCAAAAATAAAAAAAAGCTTCCATGCCATAAGGGAGGTGTCCTTTTCCTTTTGTTTTGGAGGTATTACCGGAGAGAAACGGAAGGAGAAACGAATTATGTCGTCGCCGGAGCGCCGAAGCGAGGACGTAGCTGCAAAGAAGGACGAGGTCACCAACGACAGCGGCGAAAACAACGAAGCATCCATCAGCAATCAATACTTCGATATCTATGGACCTCAAGTACTGCTTTCCTTTCTTACTGCTTTCCTTCTCATTCATGGTTCTGATAGATAGCTCTTCCAGTTTTACCTGCTAATTAATTAACTGCTATTAGCGAGTTTGTTTGTACTGCCGACACATATCATTGTGGGAGTGAAGAAGTAGTGCTGAGAGTTTGGAAATTGGGCTGGGGATTCTGGGCTCTTATAGGTCATTTCATGCTTTAAATAGGGTTGCAATGAGTGGTTATACTTAATGAGCTGAATAGTTCACTTGCTGCTTTTCACGGTTGGCAGTAAAGTTTCTGGCTTTGAGTTCATATTCATATATATGTTGCCAGGTATCCGTGGTTTGCCACTGCGCTCCGGGGAAATGTCATTGAATTGGAGAAAGATGCAATGTTTTTTTTTTTTTTTTTTGGGTTGGAAAAGATGCAATCTTGTGGTGCCTTGCATTGAGTAATGATTGCTCACTACTGCTTTCCTACAATATTTAGTTTTTGCACTTTGTGTCAGGTTATAACTATGTTGATTTCATTTTACAGGCGAAGCCAGAAATTGCTTTCAAGACTCCAGAAGCTAGCTTGAAGCTGAATCTTCAGGTAGGTCACACGGTAATCTGTCTTCAATCTCTATGAAAGAGAGGCGTTATGATTGGAATCTATGTTGATGTTCGGTCACCAGTGCACTATTTTGCTAAATAGGATATTCAAGGACTTGTGACCTGGGTGCTTGCTGAAGGGTTCATGCCTTCTTGGGTGTTTATTAAGGTAAGGGACTTATTGTTCTTCCTTTAAAAAATGCAAATAAGTTGATATATGACCACGGATAAGGTGCTTATTGAGCAAATCAGTCTGCAATAACTTAAAGCTTTAGGCTGGAACGCTATAAGGAAAATAGAAGGATAATTGTATGGTTATGTGGCTGTCTATTTGGGCCTGATGACTTCTTGTGTGCCACTGTTTTCTGTGAAAGACTACTTCTCCTAAATACTCATTTAGCTGCCTTCTATGCCATTTGATGAAATGCATTTTCATATCCATCCATAGCACGTTGATTTTCCCTAACCTATTTCCTCATCATTTCTGAAGTTTCATCCTTGCACTCATAATCTGAGTTTCAATTCTGTAGTTCAAATTAACAAATAGCGTTTTCATTTTACAGAACAAGCCTCTTATTCCAAAAGTGGTTATGGCTTATGTGCCTGGCCTAGATGCAGCTTTGTACTTATCGAAACCCAAGTTGTTCGCTGGTTTTAAAGAATGCTGTGGGAAACCGAAGGCACAGTTAGCTATTAGGTCGGTAATGATTCTTCTCTTCTCATTTTTCTTTTCTGGCTCTATCTTTGCTGATGGCTATCATTCTGCAACATTAAACCTTACGGAATTTGGTCTTCGTTTTTCTCTTTGCTAGCTGTGTAACAGATCGAATGCAGACAATAGATGCTCTTCTAACATGCAAGTCAAAAAGAAAGAGAGATGAAGTCGATTCAGATTCAAAGAAATCTGCTCCTGCTTCTGAACAAGGTGGTAGATATAGTGTTCACTGTGTTAACAATTTGTTTCATCAGCGTGCTTGCTATATTGGGACATCATTCTCTATCTTCACCTTTTTGGCTAGCCTTTACATGAACATGGGCTGTGTGGATACTCTCCTGCAGTGTGGTTGTTTGTATATGCTAACATCATTAACATCCCTATCTGTATGTCTTACAGTCTATACATATGTGTGATCTGTGAGTGAGTGTTAGGGGGGGAGAGGAAGAGATAGATATCATTTAGAGGACAGATTTGACATCAGATGTGTCCACCAAATGTGATATGTTAAATAACTTCTTCAAAAGGCTTCTGAATTTTGCTTCTCATGTGGATTTATATATTATTGCGGTGCAGAGAGGAGTGTTTCAGGCCTTGAAAATTTGTCTTTCGCGGAGCTTGTGAAAGGGGTACCTTTTCCCCCGGCATACTATACGCTGACATCTGAACAACTAGAGACCAATGGATATTGTCCTGACCAACCGGGTAAGTTTCAGTGTGTTGTTTCTTTATGTTACTTTCATAATATCGGTGTCCTCAACTTTGGCCTTCTATCATCTATAGTGTTTTATTCCAGCACTTTGTTTTTTCTAGGCTTTCTCTCTACCCTTCCTGTTCCTGGTAGCTCTCCTCGACATGATATCCTGGCAGTTGACTGTGAAATGGTAAGATGTGACTTATGCTGAAATATAAGAAACTGTTTGACTGTTAACGTTTAAAATTAACGTCTGAGAGTATGCATTATGAACTAGATTTGGCTGAGATGGTGGTATATTTAAAGAATGAAACCATAAGAGGCAACTGTCTGCTGTTTTGATAAACTTTGATTACCTGCTGTTGTACAGAATTTAGCAAAACGCTGATGAAATGTTGAGTAGAAAATCTATGAGTGGGAGAACTTCGGACTCACTATACACTCATTATTCTTTTTTTGGCATTTCAAGGGGGATGATCTTGGCATTTCGTGTTAGTTTTTCAGTACTGTAAAACCAAACATTTATCAGACTATAGTCATTCTTTATTTATACCAGAAAGAATCTTCTTGGTGAAATTCTCCTCAATATTTGTTAGTATTTCAGTTAAGGACTGGACTTTTTCTTGCCGGATTACTCAACACAACCTTTGATTAACTTCTTCATTTTCTATATTGACAGTGTGTCACTAAAGATGGCTTTGAGCTAACAAGAATAACCCTGGTGGATGTTGCAGGACAGGTATGTTATCCAGAATTATGCTTCTCACGTCATTGGACATGCTCTTGTTGCATATTCTTTTGAATGGCTTAAAAATGAAAGGAATATTGATGTCGAAGAAGCAATCAAGCCTCCTAGTGTCCCTTTTAAGCTGGCTTAGAAATTAAGGGATGCTATAACTTCTCAGCATGTTATGGTTGTGAAATGTTCCAAGTTTCACCAGGCTGATATATTTGTTACTGGGCTTCTCATTTTCTTTTGCTCTGAGAAGGAATTTTTTTCCCCATTAGATTATAGTTTATACAGTTCTCTAATCATTTTAAGTCAATGTCTCGTGATTTTTTAAGTTCCCTTTTCCAGAATAAATCTCATGTAATTTGTTTCGCTGCTGGAAAATTTATTTATCCTTGTCCTTACCTTGCAGGTATTGTTGGATAAATTGGTTAAACCAGCAAATGACATTGTTGATTACAATACAAGGTAAGTTGTCTTAACCTCGCTTTTACCTTTACTTGCATCGGAGATGTGTCTAACATTGTTTCTTCCCGGCCTGCTTTTTCTAATCTGTGGAAGGGTCCTGGTGGTCTCGAAAACGTTGAGATTTTGAATGTACTAGTTTTACAATCAACTTACTCATATAGTTTGCTTATTTCAAATGTGGCCATTCTCGTAATACAAAGTCCCTTTAGTGCTTTTTAATACAGAAGAACACCTTAACATCTTGACTTACTCTAAAATATATGGGCTTAGAATCATTTCCGGTCACCCATAAAACACTTATATTCTATGCTTAACTGAAAGTAACAAGATTGGATTCATTACTCTTGTGCAGATTTAGTGGAATTACATATGAAATGCTGAATGAGGTGACCACGACTCTTAAAGATGTTCAGGTTTGTCATATGATGTGGATCTTCTTTGGAATGTAGTTCTTTTTCAAGTAAACTTTGCCTATTTAGTCACCGTTGCTATATCTTTATTCATCAGGATGATTTTCTAAAACTGGTTAACCAAGAAACCATCCTCGTCGGTCATTCCCTTGAGAACGATTTATTAGCACTAAAGATCTCTCACAAATTGGTGATTGATACTGCTGTGCTATACAAACATCCACGAGGTGGCTCTTATAAAACCGCTCTTCGAATTCTTGCCAAGAAATTCCTCTCCAGGGAGATACAACAATCTGGTGCTGGACATGACAGCATTGAAGATGCAAGAGCTGCATTAGAACTTGCATTGCTAAAGATAAAAAATGGTGGGTCCCTTTCCAACTATTCTTGCATTGGTGTCTTTCTGTACTTGTAGTCTTTCCTGACATTTTTGCTGGCTCTTTACTAGGACCCGATTTCGGTTCTCCTCCATCTTTTACTCGGAAAAAGCTCCTTTCAACGCTGGGCGAGTGTGGCAAAACCTCCTCTATGATCGATGATATCTCCATAGTAAAGCGCTACTCTTCCGAGACATCCAATGCTTTTCCTGTATGTTCAGATGATGAAGCCCTTTTGAAAGCCAAAAAGGAGGTAAATTAGTAGATTGATAATTGACCGCAAGCAAATCTTAGGTTATTGGAGCTTTTAGTTAAACTGAGTGGTTGTGTATGTGTAGGTGAAGAATGAACGGACACATTTCATCTGGACCCAATTTTCGGAGTTGAATTCCTTTTACGAAAAGCAAGTGGAGGATGCAGAGAATTTGAATGGAAAGCTTGCTGAAATGCTATCGCTGCTTACGTGTGAGAAGAAGTCTGTCAATAAGAAAGGCATTCATTGTGGGATGACAACCGAGTTGAAGGACGTCATAACTCGCTTGAATAGAAGGATTCGTGGGCTGTATGCAGCTCTACCGACTAATACCATGCTCATCATTTGCACCGGCCATGGAGACACGGCAATTGTCCGGAAGTAAGTATATCATCAGATGTTATTTCAAACATCAATTCTTTCACATTCTCAGTCAGTTGATATTCGCCCTTGTTTCTTCTGTTGTTTGTTGAAGACTGAGGAAGATGTTAGGGGACCAAAGCGAGACGAAGATGAGTAGGGAGAGCATTCTGAAGGTCTTGGAAGAGCTTCAAGCCCAAGCAGAAGTAGCTTTGTGTTTCCTAGGCTTGAAGAACTAGCAAGTTTCTTGACCTGAAATGAGTTGGATGGTACTATAGGAAGTTGTAGAACTTCAAATTTTGTTCCTATGTAAATTTGCCAGCCAGCCAGTGAAAAAAAGTTGTATTACCAGATTGTTATGTAACATCTTAATCAAATACTACGATATGAAAATTGGAAGTAATCATTGCGCAGCTGCCTCCCAGTCGTTTCATCTTGTTCATTCTGCCTAAAAAGAACATGGCCTGGGTTACTGCAATGCTGCTGCCTGAAGGGGTGTCTTCTTTGCCGAAACTAGTCTTTGTAAAATCATGATATAAGAATGCTAGTGTTTGTAAAATAGTACTATAGTGCAGCATTGTAACTCTGTGAGGTAATGAGTTAATAGAAGAATCACGACAAAGCAATTGTTAACTTGGTAAAATTCTGATAAACCATATGAGGTTTTAACTTGGTACAACAGCGGACAACATTCAGTATTTACCATGTACTTTCAGCAATTTAAGTTTGATGTTTTCCAGCACAGTTCAGAAATTTCAGTTTCTTCAACTCCAGTCATGGGCACAAACAAGATACCTTTGAGCAAGTCAACAAGTTGCTCTATTTACATGCAACTCTGTCATCAAAACGGTAACTCAAAGACTGGTACGGAAACATGAAACTTTCATGGGACAGGTTTCATTGAAGTTTGAGACTAGCACCCTATATTAATCCTGTCAAACTTCACACTCTCTGTATAACACTGAATCATTATTTTTTTTCAGTACGCACAAGAAAAGTATTTAGAGTACATGAACTAAGCAGAGAAAACAATGTCATGGTTAACCACCTTCACCTCCACGCTGAAGCAAAGATCAAGCTTTTGTCTTCCCAACCAAAATGGAGGGCGCTCATCTCCTCTTTCAATGTGTACCTGTCGCAGTACTCTTTGATGAGCTTTCTTATCATGTCCACCACGTTTGGACCCATTACACGCGGCATGAAGCCAGCCATCGTCATTCTTGCTCTCCATTTCCCAGCAACCTCATAACGCTCGATCCTCTCCTTTCCCTCGCATGCTACTACATTAACTATGTCTCTAGCCAGACACTGCCTCTCGACATTGATCCGGTCCTGGCTTTCCCTAGGAAGAGTTACATCAAGCGACTCATAAACAGCTGAGTAGTAGTTGTAAGCTTCGACAAACCTTGGGAGGAAGGGGGTAGTGTTTGTGTTGACATCTTGCTCGACGACAGTCACCAGCTTTGGGTTGAGGCTTTTAACCATTCGGAGCAGCTGGTCTCTCTCATTCACAGTTGAGACACTTTCATCGGGCATGTGGTGAAGCTGGAAGGCAAAATTTACGATTAGGGCTTCCCCAGGCCTGCAATCGAGCATCGATGGACTAACGAGTGATGTTGTGGAAGCCACTGTGTGGAATTCAAAGGGGACCTTGAGAGCTTCCGCTAGCTGCTCGAGCCTCAACCCAATCATGACTAGGCCACCATTTGGTCGTTGAACAGACTCAGGATCATCGACACCAGTCAGCCGCAGATAAGGCAGCTTACCTCCTTGGTTTGCAAGTGTTTGTATCAGTGTTATGTACTGATTTCCTTGGTTAATGTCAAAGTCTACTATGTGCACTCGCTTTTCTCCTTTGAAAGCTTCAATCATTGCACCATTTGCAGCCATGAACCCAAATTTAAAACAAGGGCAAATCTCAAAGAGTATCTGCATTGCAGCAAGCCTATCCGAGGAAGGTGGCTCCTTGCATTTCAGAGCTTTGTAGAGGTATTTACCAGAGGAAGCTATTTTAGCGGCAAGACCTTCAACCATGTACGCAGCAATTCTAGATGAAGGATCTCCTTGGACAGAGACCATCTGCCGGAGCTCAGTTATTATAGTCGATGCTTCCTCCATGTTTCCTTCTGAGATTGCATTAGCACATTGGAAGAGCAAACGTTTGGGTGTCCGAGGAGATAGCTGACATACTTCTTTACAATTGCCAATGCTACTGAGGTTAGAATCTGAAGTAGACTCCTTGGGCGAGTCGTAGAGCATTGGATTCTTCACTTGATCAGACCATTCACCTTCAATATCCATGCTATGGCTATTTCCATCTTCATCATCTTCTCCATTGTCATCGAGCAGTGCTCTCTCCAGCTCCTGAAGCTTCGTCTTCATTTGGTCTTCATTGTATTCTTCTCCATTATCAGGGATTTGGAAATCCAGGAAATCAGGTTCAGAATTGAATACATAAGTCTTGTATGGGTCATCACCAGCTAAGGAAGAATCAGACCCAGCTCTAAGTTGGTAAGAAGCATCGCGAGGGTTAAATGAATTCCCAGAATTCCCAGAACTGGATGGTTGGATTAGTTCCTCCGAAGGTGAGTCGAGGAAGTACTGCTCATAACTCTCGCTGGAATAAGAATCAGTAGTGTACATGTCTGCACTGTTCCTATCAGTGCTAAATATTTGAGTGGACAAACCAGACTCCTCACTGCTTCCCTTGAGAGGATAAAGTTTATTATTTCCATAAGGTGTTGTTGATGAAAGCTGTGCTGGTCTCACCAGAGACATTGGCTCTTCAATTCGATACCGGTTCGGTTTTATTATCATGGAGTGAGTGAAGGAAACCTGCATCAGTCAAATGGATGAGCACCAAGCCAGAATGTCCCCATAGAGCAAGAGCAGGAAAGTGCAACTCAAATGGGTAGGTATCTTATATTTCCTCTCACCTGTTCTTATGAGGGAAATGCAGAAATAGCACTTGAAACTGTCAAACGAGGAAGTCTCTTTAGAAGCTCTTACAAGATGCCTGCATTTAGCAATGAGAAGAAATGAGAATCTTGCCATGGACGAAGTCTGGAATTTCAGCAGACAGCAAGAACAAACACCAATACTAATGATAAGCTAGTTTCCTGAAACTAATACCACAGCTCGCATATTTTCAATACTGTGGGAAACTTATCAGTGCATAGCTTAAAGAACCTAGTGATTCAGGAAACACAAAGACCTCTTTAATTACGAGGACTTTGTGCCCCTGACACACTAATGGGGTTCCATCTCCAGCTATGTGAAGAAAATTCAGATTATTGAGGTAAAACTGATGATCATGGAAATCAACCAAAAGGTCAAATTCAGTCTTCTGGAATATGCATAGACAAGAAAAGACCTTGCAAAGGCTTTTACTTATCTGTTATCTCATCAATTTCTACCGTGGAAGATTGACTTCTGGAAAAATAAATCAAACTTCAGAATATCCGACCCATCAATACATATATTTATAGCGAATCAAGAAGCACAATAAAGGAAACAAGGTAATCAAAGATGAAATCACACATCGATAGCAATTCCATGATAAGAAACACAATACATGAGAATTGAAGAAGAACCCAGTAAAAGGTAAAACCCTAAACACCCATCAAAAGTCATCCTGAATCAACTAAAATAGACAAAGAAGCAAACAAAGAATGGTCTAATAATCGAGATGAAGCAACAGAAACAACTCAAGATGATAAATAAATACAAGCCAAGAACCAAGTACCCTGATGCTTGATAAAGGATCGCTCAACAAAGAAAGCAAGAGACGAGACTCTGTACGACTGAACTGCGACTAAGCTGCCCTGAAGAACCCAGACGGGATAGAGTACATAAACTTCGACACGAAGTTTTGTATCGACAGAAACAAAACGGGTTGACCCGAAAGACGGCAGATCAGAAATTCAGACAGAAATGAAAAGGCTAGATATCCCAATTTTACAAGGTAGGTGTTTTGGATTTTAGAGGCAGAGAGATAGAGGGTTAGGTGAGTCCAACTGCAACAACAAGAAAAACCACAGAGAAGGAGAACACAAAAACAAACATGGGGAAAATCTAAACCAAATCCAATTTTATTATATGAAACTCCGACGACCCACGATCAGGATACATCCAAATAATTAAACAAGAAGAAGAAGAAGAAGAACAGCTGATAAAGCAAACCAACCTGCTTAGCAAAGAAGATTTTACAATTACCTCGAACTATCAACCCAAGATTGTAACTTTTGCTTCAGAGAAGACGAGATTAGAGGAAAGGAGGAAGCTTTGGAGTAGTTTCTATCGCTTTTACCTGTGTCTGTACTGTGTGGGATGAGATAATAACCTATGGCTGTTGCTTTTCTCTTGTCTACACCAACAACTTGGCTGACTAAAGTTTGTCATCAAGCAACCATGGGCGAGATCATCTAACGGTCCACACGCACCAGAAAAAAATTGTATGCATCGTCCACTCACTCTCTCATGAGACCATTTTTCATTTCCAGGGACTCGTGTGACTCGTTCAAGCTGAATACTTTTCCAATCTAGAGCCCAATATCTTATTGATAAAGTAACAGGGTTTTTGATTGGTTTGGGGTGAAATCACGACTTAGATAGTGGGTGGGTTTGTGAGACTTTTTTTGTTGGTGCGAGGCACTAATCGCGAATGGGAATTGTGTTGACTGGAGAAAACCTATGTTTTGAGTTTTTGGGTTCATGAGTTCATTTGGTTAAGTAATTACTAATAACTAATAAGAGTAACCTAACTGCAGTCCTGTTTAAAGTGGGATTCATGTAATAAAAATAAAGACTAGGAAATTTGGGAAGCTGGCAAGTGGCATTGTGGCAATAGTCGCATTTTATTTCCAGAACATTATTTCAATTTTCAACTCTTGAGAAAAAAGAAAAAAGAAGAAACCTCTTTGACTTTTAAATAGTTTTGACGTGGGTTAATACCATTTTGGTCTTATGCTATGCATATTTAGCGAAGGAATGCATCAGAAAGGGAGCTATATATGCTATCCGTGAGACCGTGATCGCGCGCAACATACGATTTGCGGTTAACGACTAACGGTAAAGTGCGTGATACGGTTTCGATTGTCAAGAGAGCGGGAGACGATGGACAGACATAGAGAATCCTCGACTGGTAGCGGCACCGCGGGTAATGGGGACAGAAGCCCCCCCCCACCGGGTGAGGAAAAACCCCAAGCAGGTATTTTTAGTGTCCGACCGGGGATTGAATCAGGGGTGAGGGGATTTTGTGTTTTTAAGTTATTTTAGTTATTTTTAATTGACCAAACCTATATAAATGCTGAAACTCGGATTTAAGGGTTAGTTTATTGATAGAGCCTTCTCCCGATTTTGTGTTGATTGAATTGAGGCATGTTGTATTGTTGAGATATTCTCTTAGTGACATAAAAAGCACTGTCAATGAAAGTTATGTTTATGAAAAATGGGTTACATTCATACTTAAATTGGCACTTAATCACTAAAATAAGTAACTCAATCGATTGTTTTCTTTTTTATTGTCACAACCCCAATGAAAACACCACATGTCAACAATACTAAACTTCGACCTTAACATATTTTTCAGTAGGGCAGAGAGAACTTTTCTTGGATAGTGCATGTGTATTTGGGTATTTTTATTCGTTAGGGTTGTCTTTCTAGTGATTGAGCTTGGCCTTCGATGGATCATATGTTACATTGTAAGTAGTTTGTCTTGTATAGTTCCAAGTTTCTAACCATGACATTTAAGTTTTTTTTTTTTTAAGCATATAGCATCAGTTACTCCCCACATTAAAATTTGACTCCTCTCTCATATTTAAAGACCAATTCTTCTTCTAATTAAATATCATCACTTTATTTTAGTAGGAAAGTTAGGAAGGATGTTCTTCATTTTTTAAAATTGTATACTAGAAGTAGTGGACTAATTGCAACTTCATTTGCTACATTCATCCACTAACCAATTGCATAAATTCATTTAGAAATCTTATTTTTGTTGGTTTGAATTAGAGGTGGCAATTAGGATCCAAATTCATGAATCCAATTCATCCACTAAATTATCCACCTAATCCAATCCATTTTATCCAAATACAATTAGATTGGTGGATTCATGGATCAATCCATGGATCAAATGGCAAATTACGATTTGGTACATATATTTTTTATATTTTACATTTTGGTACCTAAAATTTATATTTTTGTACAAAAAAATCATTGGAAAATTACATTTTGGTACCTAAATTTTTTCATTATGACGTTTTAGTACCAAAACTTTTCAAATTTTATATTTTGGTCCAAGCCTTTGATGTCATTTGGATTCATGGATCAATCCACCAATCCATTTGATCTAATCCATGAATCCACCAATCCACGAATTCACGAATTCGATCCAATTGTCACCTCTAGTTTGAATGAAAGATGAAAACTCTTGTCCGAATTGACTACACCGATTAAGCCGTCCAATAGAAAATTGTGAAGTGAGGAGGGAGGATGGCCAATTTTCAACCCTATGCTCGTGTGAAATGAATCAATTAAAGGGGCAATCCTGGTTCCAAGATGACAATAGCAAGTGGGGGAAAGGATTGAGAATTGAAAAACTTTTACCAAAATATAATAAAGACTCCAAGTGTGGGAGGTCGATGTCAATCCATCTCAAAGCAAACACCTTATCCATTTTAATTATAAACTATCAATGGTTTGGACTATAGTCTAAACGATGGCATGAAACGAGCAGCTTTAAGTTTTGATTCCCATCTAATTAATCATATTGCAAAATCATTTGTTTAATCAAATCCATATATTTTCTATCATAAGGGTTTTTTTTTTCTTCCTAAAGTGGTTGGGTATGTTGCCAATACTCGACAGGGATATCTTGATTCTTGGGAGTCCATATTTGCAATTGCATATGCATTACAGCATCACTACATCAGTGGCAACTTTACAAGAATTATTCTATAAGAAAAATCGATTTCAAGTTTTACCGGTAATTTTTTGTTGTTGTTTGGATGATCAAATTTTATTCGAAAAATTGGTACATTCAACGATGAATTTTGTTTAAATCCACTTGTCTGTTACACGATCTTTTTTCCAAAAAGTACAATTATCGTATTAGTGAATTCGAAGAATTATACTAACAAGCATGTGATCGAGAGATCTTGTTGTTCTTTTTTTATAAGAGCTCATTAAGTGGAGAAGAATTTATGAGCAAGATAAATTAAGACCGCACAAATCTAAAGCAAGAATTAGAACAAACAGGGTTAAAAAAAAAGAGAGACGAAATGGTCATAACTCACAAAGGTTGTCATTCCGGTTTCGCCCATTAGCCCCATCCAACAAGTAGTTAAGCATTAATGGTTTGATTGATTTAGCCCATATAACCCCGGTTTAGCCGAAATATATGAAAAAAAGGTCAATTCTCAAAAGACACATGATTCAAGGGAAAGTGTATAGGCAAAGCACAACAATGTAGCGAAACACATAAAGGGAAGAAGCATAAGAGGTTAAAAATCGACCAATTCATGGAAGCAAGACAATACCATATAAAATTGATGTACTTGCAGAACTTGTACACCAACAATTAGGGATGTAAATTACCTACCCATTGGCAATTATACCCAAATCTAAATAGACCGATTGATAATGGGTAGTGTATGAAAAAAGTATATATGGGTTTGGGGGTGTGGGTAAGGTATGAATATTGCTTCCATAATCTAAATGGGTACATGTTGGATATGGATATCCATTTACTTGAGATTGTTTTAACTACACATACAAAGATTGGATCTATTTGTAAAACTTAAAAGTTTAGGTATCAAAACGCAAGACCAAAAAATTTTAGGCAATAAAATGTAATTTCCATAAATATTTTGAACACTTATATGTCAAAAAAATAAATTTTAGGTACTAAATATGTAAATCTATTAAGTTGAGGTACCAAACTGTAATTTTCCGTTGGACATGGGTACAAATCAAAATCCATGTATAAATAACTCAACCCAACCCAAAGAAATTGGTAGGGGTGTTCAATTGGTTACCATGGTTATAACCAAACCAAATAAGGCTAAATTCCATTAACCATGGAATACAATATCATAACCAAACCGTCCAAACTAGTACAACAACCATTTAACCAAACTAAAGTTTAATCGGTTTGGTTAATTGGTTAACCAGATTAACCAATATAAAATCATATTATCATTGACGATGAAAATTTTCCGGTTAATGCAATAATTCGCAATTTATATAATGAATAAAACATAACAATCAACACGTAGTTATAGTTGACCCTTAACAAAAATACATGCAACTAAGACAATTATCTTACGATTAGTATAGAAGTATTCACCTAACAAAAAATTATGACAATGGTATGGGTTAATGAATTGTTGTGTTTGTGTAAATTGACTTAGTCTCTTAGCAATTATCATAGGCTGGAAATTACCTTACTTTCAAGTTTTCATTCATCATAATGTATGAAATTTATCTAAATTAGGCGTTCATATGTTGTGGTCTAGACTTTACATATACAAATATACACTATATGAACAATATTGAGCTTTATATTTTATGAGTCTAAAAGGGATGAACGTTAACTCTTGAGTGGTTATGCAAAGTATTATGTGTATATAATATATGTTAGATATATGACTAATTACTTAACTGGTTAATTTGGTTTGACTAGTTAGGAGTGTCTGAAACCAAACCAAACCACCTAAACCAAACAAGCTAAAAACTTTAACCAAACCAAACCACCTAAACCAAACAAGCTAAAAACTTTAACCAAACCAAACCAATTATCCAAATTAACCAAATCAAATTATCCAAATAGTACCGGTTAAAATGGTTACCACGGTAACCAAACCGTTTGAACACCCCTAGAAATTGGTATGGGTACAAAGTACAAATCCATCAAACTCTACTCATTTACAATCTATTTAGATTTCGTACCCAACCCAATTGGGTTGGATAGTAAAATACCCATGGACATGAACAAAATTATCATCACTACCAGCAACTCTACCAGAAAAAGAAGGAAAAAATCAATTGGAGAGCGGGGGCGAGCTGGCAGGGTTAGAGCCTGGAGAACGAAAGGAGAAGACAGCTCGTGACTGGTGAGGAGGACAACCTGGGAAAAGATGTCGTGGGCAATACTGTTAAAATCGTGATTTTACGTAAAATAAAAAACTAAGGTGAAATCATAATCGTAGATTAAGATTATAAAATTGCATCGCTCATTGCGAAATTCTCATAGTTGTTCCACAATCTTAAGTTTCTCTTCAGGATCTCTAATATTTCAACAGTTTCGTACAACTCCACTTTCAGCTATTTATCATTAGGTTCAAATCTGAATCCTTTTCCATTGAGCGTCAATGACCTACACGTTTGGGAGACGAACAAAAGCTTGCAAGGGGTGGGAATTGAACTAGTTGCGAGGGTGGTGATGGAACAAACAATAAGCTAAATTGGGAAGGTAATAGAGGAAATCGATGATAGAAGGAGTTTGGGGTCAGCTAATGAAGGATCGAAGCCCTATATCCTCATTTATACCTTAAAACCGGCACAAAATAAAGTTCTTCAAGGAATCCATGATTACAAAAGCAATCGAATATGATCATCATGTAGAGGGTTGATGATCAAGATGGATTGTGGGTCGTCAAAAGTGTTGCACTTCAAGCGTAGGTGGAATCAATTCTAGCTAAAGAAAAGAAGCATGTCGTTCAAGAAAGGAAAAATCTAGCTGAAGTGAAAGGCAACACAATGGTATCAGAGCTCTTGATAACCTGTGTCAACGACTAGGGTTCTAGCTAGGAGCGAACTTGTGAGGTTTAAGAGGGTTTTTGTGTTCTCTTCTTCTTGATCCTTGCTAGATTATAAAACTTCCACTCCAATGGCTTCATTTGGTCTCTCTCTGACTTCTCCCCCCAACAATGCAACACTGAATAAGCAAAAGGATCATGCTGAGGAAGTGGCTGTGACAGAGGAAGCCTACTTAGAGAAGTAGAGAACTTTTGTGTAATGCAAATGGATAAGATGGTCAACGATTTAGTTAATAGTAAATAAATTGTCATTCAAACTTATATTACGAAAGATTTATGTAATATGTTTAATTGAGACATAAGAAATAAATATCCTTTATAAGCTTTACGTGGTGTATTCACATAAAATATTTGTCATACATAAATTCATAACATAGAATGGTTTTAGATGGTTTTCTGTCCTTTCACCAAATCCCAACATAATATGTGAGATTTACAAGTTCGTAAATTAGACACTCGTCAACAAACAATGAATTAAGGTAAAATTCATCAAGTCTGGAATTTAGGTACCATGTTCCAACCCTACAAGCAAACCACCCCTAAATTAATCTTTAATGGACTTGTACATGCACTCACTCATTTTTATTCAGCATATGAGAGAAATTATTGAAACAAGATAGGATGTCGCGCTCTGCAGCGGGCAGATGGCAATGGGTCGGGTTAGGTCGGGTTTTGCCAAACCCAAACCCAAACTCATGGGTTTAACCGTGAAAAAATATTGGGGTAAAACCCACTGGGTTTGAAAAACTCAAACCCAACCCAACCCGCTGGGTATCCGTGGGTTCATGGGTACCCACGGGTTTTTGTTGTAAAAAATTTACAATAACTAGTTCTTATCAAAATTAAAGTCAAATATCAATCTCTCAATACAAATTATCCACATATAAAACACCATTCTAGAAAATTCAAGCAAATCACAAATTAACTATACAAATTGTTCAACACCAATCTAGAAAACTCAATAAAATTGAAGCAAATCACAAATTATTCATAAATAACACGATTAACTGAAAGCTTCTTCCTTTCAATTAAGTTTATTCACTCTCCACTCGATAACATCAACTTCATTATACACAATTTGAAAGAAAAAATTAGACATGTCTCCGCAAACATAAATAAGGGGTCGTTCGGAAGTTGTGATTTCAAATGGTGTATTGATCTAATTCATGTATTTGTGAGATTAAGTCGTTTTTTGGTTTATATAGAACTAGAATACATGTATTTACTTTTTGGAGGCCCCACCACAATCACTCAATATTGAGGGATTTACAATCTCTACTTTTGTTGAGATTCTTCACAATCACTCAATACTAACTTTTTTACCTTTTGGAACAAAAACACAATCTAAACCTCCAAACAAGATATTTACCTAATACATCAATTGATTCAATCCATAAAATGATAATACACTAATTGTCCCAATACATCAATTTGAAGAATCACAACTTCCAAACAACCCCTAAGATTAGTTGTTTAGAATATTAAATATACCGAGAAAATTAACTATATGAGTGCGGGGCTGTGGGCGGGTACCCATGGGTCGGGTTTAGCTAAACCCAACCCAACCAAACCCGGTGAATAGTGAACGGGTTTAAACCCAAACCCGGCCCAAACCCCATCAACACGAATTTTACCCGCATTGACCGGGTTGGGTCGGGTGGGTACCCGTGGGTTCGGGTTTTGTTACCATCTAGCGGGCTACCATCCTCGTTGGGCTACTTTTTTCAACTCGTCCAGCCCATAAGTTTTATCTATGAAAATATGTCAACTTGATTAGGCCCGCCCATTGTTCCAAATTCATATATTTTGCTTGTATATAGAAAAGACATAAAGCAGAAATCATCGTGGCTGATATCGCTGTTCCCCCAGATTTTGTTCTCTAAAATCTAAATTCTGTGTTCAGTTTGCTGCTTTCCACATTTCTATGTGATTTTGAACCTCTAATTTATCGTTGCTTCTCTTCTAGGTTCAAATCCATCGTTGTTTAAGGGATACTCTAGCCTCGCTGATCCATCTGAGCAGCATAAAATTCGTTATTTGATACACATTCATCTCATGTGATGTCAACTATTGAGCTTTATATGTTTGTTGTTAGTGTGTGGTATATGATTCACGATTGAATCTCTCCCGATAATTTGTAAAGCAAATGCTTTGGGCAGCTATCCACTGGAAAAAAAATCATCAGCCCACAACCCATTCTTCGTCACAGTCAGTGTACTGTTAGCCTGTGCTTCATATAAGTTATGAGTCAGTAGTGGAGTTAGGTTGAAATTACATGTGATTTTTATAAAAATTTATGAATTAGAATAGTCGATAAAGTTTTAGTTCATTCCTCTAATTACCATAGTTCAAATCAATTCTCCTCATACAAAGTTCTGATTTCGCCGGTGATCAGTTGATCATTATAATATTGTTTAAGAGGGAGGACAATGTAGTGCCACGTGTTGAGCCCTTTTATAAACTGAAACAATTGAGATTCCCGTTATTGAGTCGAGCCGAGAAATTCTATTATGAGAGATTTTTGGACTGCTCACTAAATACAGCTGAAACAATTTTTAGTTCATTCCATCTGGTGCTAGAAGAAGGGTTTCTCCCGATGTTTCTTTTGAAATGACGCGATATTGTTAAACGGACGCTATCAAATTTGCTCTATTACTTTATATGGGAACTTCTGTCTCAAATGAAAGAGAACGTCATTGATATTATTTAAAGTTTTGGGTAAATACAATTTAATATCCAAACCTTTCATTTTAAATAATATAATAGCCAAACTTTTTCGAAAACAATCTAATATCCAAATCGTCAACTTTCCGTCCGTTTGACCGTTAGTTGACACTTCAAAAAAGTTCGAAGTACGACACTTCATCAATATCCATCGATATCTTCTCTAAAAAACCACCAACATATCATAGTTCCAAACCCGAGAAGTCCGTGACTCCACCATGATAGTATAGAATATCTAAATATTCAGTCATCTACAATGCCAAAACAAGAAACAAAGTTGTATTGTGACAATTTCCCCTAAACAAAGCTTTTTTGAAGTGTCAACTAACGGTCAAACGGACGGAAAGTTGACGATTTGGATATTAGATTGTTTTCGAAAAAGTTTGGCTATTATATTATTTAAAATGAAAGGTTTGGATATTAAATTGTATTTACCCTAAAGTTTTTAGAAAAGCATTCTTATCAAAAGCACTCTAGTCACTTGAAAATTTTCTTATATTTATACGAGCGTTTATTCATTGAGGTATATGAGTAATTTTTTTTTATCCAAGATAAGCCCCAAGGCATGGCCGGACAACAAAATACAAAACATATAATAATAAAGAACGGTAATCCGTATGCAACCAGATTCCCGATGAAAGAGCCTGTTATGCCACTAGGTGGGCAGCTCTGAGAAAGCTCCAAGGAGCGAAAAGACACGAAACTGACACGAGGGGCAGAAAGAGAGAGAAAAGAAACTTCCCTGAAAGTGGCTCATGCACTGGGAAGAGAATGCTTCCTCGATGTAGGATCCATGTTGATCAGTTGAGAAACCCCGCAATATGTAACAATCAATACATTAAGGGTAAGATACAATCACATAGCCTCACTAAAGACAAGCAATTTGATATGATCATCGATAATACCATAATAGAATTATGAAAGTCAAATGGAATAGTTCCATCACCTGAGAAGCCGACCGAGTCAGTTGCACATCTTTGAAGATTTTTTGTAACAATTGAATAAATCATTTAACGAGACTTGCTTTCCATCATAGGTTGAGGAGATGCTCGATCATAACTTCCCAATACTAAATTTTCCTGTACAGAAACCAGCTACAAAGGCACCACAAGGTGCTAAAAATCTCTACTGAAGAGATTAAAATCTGTCAAGAGATATAGTCGGACTTCACCGAAAATTCCACATCAATAATGTGGTTTCAACCCGAAGAAAGTGAGTTAATTCTGAAAAGTAAAAATATTGGATAAAATCCAATAAAAAAAGGATAAGAAGAAAATGACTAACATAACTGAGCTTGCTCAAATAAATTAAATAAATAATTAATACACCTTAATATTAGGAGCAAATCTCTCCTACGGGTTAAAAACAAATTAAATAGAGGAAGGTTAAAGAAAGAAGTCTGGTCCTGGAAGGGAAGTAATTCTAAAAGGCTGATTTAAAGGCTATTAACGCAGCTAATAAAGACAATTACAATGGATTACAATTAAAATTAGGAAATTAATTAAAATATTACCGTTTGTGATACTAACGGTACGAGATTAGACTCCTGTTATTACGTCAAGAAGTACTCCGGATTGGAAATCATCTCCGGACTCCGGTCACGACGATCCCGCCGGCGCTATGCAACTATTGCAGGAACTTTTTTGCTGACAGCGGAGGCGACTCTCCGTTTACAGCGGGGAGGATTCTCACCGGATTCTTCCACTTCGCTCAGTGACAGGGACTCCGGTTCATCCCTTCTTTAGGTAAAGAAGGATGGAGGAAAAAAGGGTGCCATCTGACCTCAAAATTGAATCTCTCGTTGGAGGCAGCTATAGCTTTGTCCAGGTTTCTCTTTCCCACAAGACACCATGGGCATATAGTGTCTGAACTCACATCCACGCGGATAAGCTTCTTCCCAGCAGCAGCAGACTCAGCCATGGACCTTACGAGTCTTATTCCCTGGGACTGGGAGAACAAATTGATGTCCGAGCTGAAAGAAACAATTTGGTGCTAGCCTGCGAGGACAGTTGATAATGGTAGTAATTGAGTATGGAGAAGAGACAAAAGATTTTAGTGTCTAGACAAAAGAAGGCAGACACTAGTGGAAAATACCATGTGACAATCGATTCATTGAGATAGTAGGTAGCAGTCATTAAAGTCCCTCCTTATAGGAGCCTTTAATTTATTCATGGGCTAATGCCACTAAGAAGTCCGAACTATCAAAAAGCGTTATTTGTATTCTAAACTATTTAAAATGATAAATCACAAATTATTTTTTTCGTTAATATTGACCAACGTTAACCGATAGTATTTAACAGAAAATCTAGTCAACATTTATGTTGTTTGTGCCAGATTTGTCATATTGAATAGTTTAGGTCACAAATGTCACGAAACGCATATAATTTGTGCCAAATTTGTCATATTGAATAGTTTAGTACACAAATGACACTTTTAGCATAGTTTGAAATTTCTAGTGAAATTAGCTCTTTATTCATTGAGGTAAGAGTGGTTGAATGGGGGAAGAGCCACATAAAATCTAAATAATGCGAACGTAGTGTGTTATGAAGTGGAAAACAGTATCAGAGGTACCAGCTATCTAATGGAGTTATAGAACAGTCTTAGTGACATCAGTAACCTAATTAATGACCCCACGTACCACTAATTAGGAATGGCAATGGGGCAGGTCCGAGGCGGGTATCACGATACCCATACCCGTCCCCGTGGTAGGTCGGGTAATTTGACTAAAATTACATGTGATTTGGGCAGGAATGGGTCGAGAATGGGGCGGGTCAGGACAGGTCGGGTCGATGAGAATACCCATACCCGCCCCAAAACAGTTCAAACAGGTCAGGTAAAACGGGTCAGGTCGAAATGGCCATCCCTAGCTACGACTAATTGTTGCTTATAATATATCATATAATTTAGCTAAAGCATCTTAATTAGTAGCATGTTCAAACATAGAAAAAGACAATCTGGAAATTAAGTGGAAAGGCTTGAGCTTATATAGCATACTAGTAGACAGTAGTGGTGTTTGTTTTGATCATACGATCCTCCTACCAATGAGCTTCATTACTACCATGGAAGAGCTCCGCCAAAACATGATCTCTTCCTCTTCCTCCTTCGCCATGATCCCCTTCCTCCTCCTCACACTTTCCACCATCCTCGTAGTCTCCTTACTCTTCCTCCTAAAGCCAAAAAAACCCATCCAAAACCGCCGGGGCCATGGAAACCTCCACCAGATGGTCGGCGACCAACCCCACCGGCGGCTCGCCGACCTCGCCCGCAAACACGGCCCCGACGTCATCCGCCTCCAGCTCGGTGAGCTCCCTTACATCGTAATCTCCACTCCCGAAGCCGCCAAGCTAGTGATGAACACCCACGACGTAGCTTTCGCTTCGAGGCCTCTTCTCCTGGCGCCAGAGATCGTCTACTACGGCCGCAACGACATAGGGTTTTCGCCCTACGGACCGTACTGGAGGCAGATGCGCAAGATCTGCAGCTCAGCGCCGAAAGGGTCCGATCTTTTCGCGACATAAGGGAAGAAGAGGTGTCCAATCTCGTGGCCGATCTTACTCATGCATCGGCAGCAGGGGAGCCTGTGAATCTCACTCAGATGTTGTCTGCCACAACAAGCGCCATAACTTCCAGGGCATCGTTCGGGAGAGCGCAAGACTGACCGATGCTTTCATGATCGTTGTCGACAACATTTCGAAGTTGTACGTTTAACGTTATGGTACAACTTATGTTGTACCTATACTTTTTTGGAAAATCTTTTTATGGTACAAACTAAAGTTGTACATTTAAGTTTTGATACAACTTGAAGAGTTAGAAGTTGTACCATAGCATAAATGTCAGATTCTCTTTTAAGATAAAACTTCAACTTGTACCTTTTATGATACAACTTTAAGTTTTACTTTATAGCACCAATACTTTAAGGTTTGATTTAGGGATGGCAATTTGAACCCGCCCCGCCGGGTAAGATCCGACATGGCCCGCGATGGGGCGGGGCATGGGTATCAACTTCAGACCCGCCCCGTCCCATTCTTAGCCCGTTCTAGGTTAATTTTTTACCCCATCCATTCATATATCTCCTATTTAGGCTTTTATTCAACTAGTTAGACTTGATCTTTCAACTAAATAGACTCAATTACTTATTATTTTATCACTATTATTCATTCATCAAGTTTTTCCCCCTTCGTTTTATCATAAAAAGTAAAATTGTACGTGTATTTTTCTCAAATAGCATGTAAGAGTGGGTCGACCCGCCCCGCCCCGTACCCACGCGGTTATTACCCGCCCCGACCCGTACTAGCGTGGGGCGGGGCATGGGTATTGAGGTACCCGCTCCGCCCCGACCCATTGCCATCACTAGTTTGATTCAATCCCATGTTCGACCCAATTGGGGTTCTTCTTTATTGTAAGGAAGAACTTACTCTACGACGGAGTGAATTTGAAGAATTAGTTTTTTTGTTCTCAAGTGCAAATTAACATCGGAATCTGCTGCAGCTTCTCTAATCGCTACGGAATTTGAGAGGTTGAATAAAATTCGACGAGAACGTAAAAATTCTTCTGCTCCATATAAAAGATTAAAGAGTGATTCCTGATTAGCAGGAGACTAATCGTAGTTCGGAGTAGTGTCTTGTTGATTTCAAAAATATATTTAAAAGAAAATTGTTTTGTTATCAATGTCTGTAAAAGTACTTGTACGATGTACCCATTATATATCCATGCAAACAAATTGACGAATAAGAGAGACATGGGCCAGCTACCCACTTTGATTGAGGCATTTTGACACTTCCAAGGTGGAGATGGCTATGAAGTGTGGTAGAAGAAGAAGAAGAAGAAGAGTAATACGGTAATACCCAAAAAAAAAAAAAAAATCAAAAGCCAATCGGACGGCTAAGAGCTTGCACACCCAACTCCCGAGTCCCGACCATAACCAGACTTGATACATACAGTAGCGCCCAGTTTCTTCAAAATCAATAAACAAACCATAAAAAGTTAAATACTTGTAGTAGCTCCTCCAGTAGTAGTTGCTTTGTCGTCTGTCCGGTTTCAAGTTCCTTCACTCTCTTACCTTGTTCTCCGTTTCACTCTACCGTGGGACTGGGAGTCAATCACTCACCAGCTCCGTTCACTCGTCCATCCAGCAGCGCGACCTTCTTATTTCCAGATCTCGCGGCCAGCAACGGTTGTCGATCCCGCGCAGGGGGCGGATCTACTGCGTCCGTGTTCTTCGGGTGCAGTTCGGCGGAGACCACTGCATTTCCTCTGCAAATTCTACAGTCTGTCTTCATCATTCAATTTGAGTACGTCATTGCTTTCCCTCTTTCTGCTGGATTCACTTCCCTTTTCACTTTCTCTGGCTTTCTTACTCTTATCCGACCCACTTACATTACTTTCCTTCTACTCTTTTTTGAATTGGGGGGTTTGATCTCCACTGCTATCTTTGGGGATTTCGGATCACAAGTGGCGAGCTTTCTTTCGGGGTTCGCCCCAATGTTCCGAATCCTCTCTGGGGTTTGGTTGCTGTTGTACAAATGAGAATCGTATCTTGCTTCACCTACTGGGTTTGACTTAGCGTCAGCATTATTGACTAACTTGAGGATCTACCTTATCTGGAACATGGAAATTTCTCTCTTTTTTTTTGCTGCATTGTCTCTTCCTTCTTTTTCTGTCTTCAATTTGAATTCTGGGTTTGATAGCATTTGCTAGTATTTGGTTTTGACCATCAGTGATAAGTTCATTTCAGGATTTGGCATCATCCAATTGTTTTATATTGAATGTCCGGCATATGTACCCTGTTGGATTTTTCAATTAACTTCATCAGGATCGAGCAGACTGTTATTTGTCTACATCCCTGAACTACCTCGTGGAACATTTAACTCTACTGGTCAATCTTTGGTGTCTTCCTTAGTTTGCTGAATCTTGCATTTTTATGGGAAGTGATTGATTCTCAAGCTGATATGAAACTTGTTGATCCTTTTTCCAGGATATTTCAAAGTACAGATTCTAAATTGAAGCATTCATCCACTTTTCTTGACTGTTGATTCTAGAGCGTCTTTTCGGGTTCAGGAACAGATGATTGATTTACTGTCAGGCTAACAATGTCAAGGATCACAAAGTGGAAGACTGAGAAAACAAAGGTCAAAGTGGTATTTCGACTGCAATTTCATGCTACACATGTAAGTTTTCTACTATCTTCTAAGTCAGAATGCTGATTGGTATACTGTTCAAACTGTGATGATTAATAGTTCAAACCACACTCAAAGGTAGGGCATTTCCCATTTCTTTAGGAACTTTTGTTTAAAAAATAATGGCATCTCCAATTATAGTCCCTCCGGGATATAAAATATATCTCCTCTCACCGTCCCTTAGTGTATGAGACAAATGTATGCATTTCGATTGGGATAATATTTTATGGTTATATTCTACCACATATGTCATTTTCATTCCGTCGAAAGTTGATTTTGCAGTATAGATGCTTATGAACTCCCACTACATGCCTTGCTATTTTTTTGTTGTTGCTCCTTAGGCATGTATGCCAACTTATTTACTGGTCAATGTTGTCATTATTGTTGAGATAACTTCTGCTATCACTCTTCTGTTTGGTCCACTTTCTGCTGACCTTTTGACCATCTAATTGATTCGCCAATTAAAATTAACTTGTTGTTTAGTTATTTTGTTCACTTGGTTCTAGATTTATGCTATAGACATTTAGTTCCGTATACTTATTTAGTGACCAAATTGAAATGACTCGTTATAGAGGGAAGGGCATATGTTTATTGTTTACTGTGGATGAGTTCAGGTTGAGACAATGGGAAGACATGACTTAATGAAAAAGATGCTTTGATTTAGGAAAATGTTGTAAAGACTCGATGAACTACTGGATCTTTATTTGGTCTGACCTCGTAATACTCGATGCTTGCCCTGTCTCCTTTTCTGCCAACTGTGCACCTGATCTCATAGTCTTTAATATGGGCTGGACACCATTTTCTTCAGAAATATTGTTAATAGTTTGTCTGTTGCACTATCTCTACGTGAAATGATGCAGGGGAAAACAAATATGGCCTTCTGTAGTTTTCAATCTCTGTGGCAGTTGGTCGTTAGAAGAGCTCTGAGCTAGATATCCGAAAAGGATTATATAAAATGGAAAGGATGTAGATCTATTCTAGGAATCTAGGTAGAAGGCAGATTAGTGTTCTGTTGAGTTTGATATGAAAGTATGATTGTCCAAGCCTGTGAATCGGAGTCTCCATAGCTATGAATGTACTTGATCATTTATTAATTGCCTTTCTTGGGAGGGACGTATAGTTGATGTAACTTTTTTTTTTTTTTTTTAATGTGGGATACAGGTCCCACAGTCAGGATGGGATAAGCTTTTCATATCTCTCATTCCTGCTGATTCCGGGAAAGCAACAGCAAAGACTAACAAGGCCAATGTGAGAAATAGTTCCTGCAAGTGGGCAGATCCTATCTATGAGACAACACGACTTCTCCAAGACATAAAAACTAAGCGATATGATGAAAAGCTCTATAAGCTTGTGGTTTCCATGGTACCGACTTGCGCTCTTTGTATCTGAAAAACATATCTTTTAACTCATCTCTAGCTTTCCATTTTTAATCTCAATGAGTTGATGGACCTTTCATCTCAATTTATTACACATCAGGGTTCCTCCCGGTCTACCATCCTTGGAGAAGCTGCTATTAATCTTTCTGATTATGCTGAAGCACTAAAACCTTTAGTTGTAACTCTCCCTCTTCATGGATGTGATTCCGGAACCACTTTACATGTGAGCACTCCTGAACATCCTATCCCCTGCACTTCGCGATCTAGTGTGACTTCTCTGTTAAAGCTAGTGGCAATATTCTGTTCTCACTCTACAGATATATTCAATTGTGTTTAAAAGGGAGTACTTCGTGAGGGTAGCATTATGATAACCTTAATTGTTTTTACTCTTGTACAGGTTACTGTACAGCTTCTAACTTCGAAAACAGGTTTCAGGTAGTACTTTATAACAATTTATCTTCATGTTCGTTTAATTCATCACTTATTAATCAAGTCTTATCTCTCTTAGAGAGTTTGAGCAGCAAAGGGAAATCACAGAGAAGGGTTTGCCAACTGAGCAGAGCAGCCCTGAAGAATCTCGTGGCAGGAAAGTGTCATCTTCTGAAGAAGCTCTCAGTGATCAGGTGGACAAGGTACGAGCTCATAGGTAGAACTTTAATTGCTGGGTGATACGAATTCAAGCAGTGTGAATTGTGAAAATGCATGTTGATCTTAGTGCTGAAGAATGCTCTTTACTTTTCTTGTGCTTTAGCTGAAAGAATTTTCTTGCCTCCTGAGCTTATATTCCTGATATCTTATGTTACAAAGCACAATATTTAGCTGTATATTTGTAGTTGTGGTGTAAGTGGCATACATATTGCTGGTAGTAACAATGCTGAAACTATTCCCAGCCTTTTCTGCCAGCTCAAAATAGAATAGGGAAAATGGATGATGTAATGAGTCACTTGCTAGTACAGGCTATCTTCAATATGATTTTGGCTAATATGGAACCACACTTTGTTAATTATCAGAATTTTCTAATAAGAAGATACAGTGGGTATCAAACTTCTGGTGATAGTTTGTGACGTGTCATCTGTTGTAAAGTTGATAGTGCTTGATAAACTATGCTGATGCTGGTTAAATTAATTAGATGGGTGAAACTGTGACTTTTCTTGTGATTTAAGTGTCATTAAAAATCCATTAGCCAAGGTCTACTATATCAAGATATTGTTCAGAATTTTACTGGGTTGGCCTCGGCGTGCACTCTCAAAATCCTTGACTTGTGGAATTAAAAAAATCCCAACAAAAGAATATGTATCATTCGTGAATTTCATATAGGGCGGGTCAAATACCTCAGAACATGTTCATTGCTTTAGTCATATGATGCATAGTTGTTAAACTCTTGATTTTCTAGAAGTCTTTGCTGTTAGATTCTTTCTACTCGCTCTCATTTTTTGCTCATATCTTACTTCTCTTTTCTTTATTTTTGTTTCCAATGGCAGGCCAATTCTAGAGTCAGATCCAAGGAAAAATTTCAGGATTTCAATTTAGTTGAGCAGATGAGGCAGAGCGTGGATTATGCAGAATCAATTATTGGATATGATGGTTCTTCAAATGCCTCTGAAGGTTTATATGCTGAGAAGCATGATGTATCCAGCACACATGAGATTGAAAGTTTGAAGAGTACTGTTTCCGGTGACTTAGCTGGATATACCATTGGTCTGAGTCCCCAAACAGGTGATTCCTCTGATCCCAGATTACTTGTGTTGTACAAGGAAACAGTGATTTGGTTCATGGTTGGAGTTTATACTATTCTGCAGATGCTGACACGGCAGCTGCTTATGAAGAGAATAAGAGACTTAGGAGAAGTCTGGAATTAGCTGAATCATCTATTCATGAGCTCAAGCAGGAAGTGAGCTTTTTGCAAAGTAATGCTGATGAAATAGGCTATGAAGCAAAAAATTTCGCAAAACAGCTCACAGATGAGATTGCTTCCGGAGAAGATCTAGGAAAAGAGGTATATGTTTTGAAATCAGAGTGTTCAAAGCTGAAACATGATCTCGAAGACCTAAAATTATCCAGATTGTGTCAGCCTATCAGAGAACTAGAAACAACGGAGACAGGACAAGCTCCTA